ACTTTTCCTGCATTTATTGAGATGATTATGTGGCTTTTATCGTTCATTCTGTTCCTATGATCTATATCACATTAATTAATTTACATGTTTCCCAGGGATAAAGCCCACTTGGTGATGTTATATGATCCTTTTAATGTATTATTGAATTCAGTTTGCCATGTTTTTTTGTTTGAAGATTTTTATATCTGTGTTCTTCAGGGATGTTGGCCTGTAGTTTTCTTTCCTTGTAGCATTTTTGTCTGGCTTTGGTATCAGGACAATGTTGACCTCATAAAATGAGTTTAGAAGTGTTTATTCCTAGGGGCACCTGGGTGGCTCAGTCAGTTGAGTGTCCGACTTCAGCTCAGGTCGTGACCTCACGGTTTGTGGTTTGAGCCCCACATTGGGTTCTGGCTGTCAGCACAGAGCCCACTTCAGATCCTCTGTCCCACTTTCTTTCTGTCCCCACCAAAATAAAAAGTAAACATTAAAAAAGTAGTGTTTAGGGGCGCCTGGGTGGCTTAGTCGGTTAAGCGTCCGACTTTCGCTTAGGTCATTATCTCGCAGTTCGTGGGTTCGAGCCCCGTGTCGGGCTCTGTGCTGACTGCCAGCTCAGAGCCTGGAGCCTGTTTCAGTCTGTGACTCCCTCTCTCTCTGACCCTCCCCTGCTCACGCTGTCTCTCTCTCTCTCCTAAAAATAAATAAAACATTAAAAAATTAAAAAAAAAAAAAAAGTAGTGTTTATTCCTTTTAAGTGTTTTGGAATAACTTAGGAAGGATTATATTAAATCATCTTTAGAGCTTTGGTATAATTCATCAGTGAAGCCATCTGGTCTTGGACTTCTGTTTGTTGGGAGGATTCAGATTACTGATTCAGTTTCCTTATACGTTATTCACACCTGTTGAGATTGTCTGTTTCTTCATGACTCAGTCTTGGTAGTTTGTACGTTTCTATGCATATATCATTTCCTCTAGGTTTGGTGTATAATTATTCAAATTACTCATAATTTGTGATCTTTTTGGTTTCTGTGTCATCAGTTTTCATATCTCCTTTTTCATTTTTTATTTTACTTATTTGAACTCTGTTATTATTTTTAGTAAGGGTGATTAAGGGTTTGTCAGCTTATTTTCTCTTTTCAAAAAACAACTCTTATTTTTGTTAATATTTTCTATTGGTTTTCTGTTCCTTATTTTGCCTACTGCTGCTCTAATCCCTATGTTTTTTATCTTCCTTCTGCTAATGTTGGGTTTATTTTGTTGTTCTTTTTCTAGGTTCTTGAAGGATAAAGTTTGGTTGTTTGAGATCTTTCTTCTTTTGTAACGTAGGCATTTGTAAACTTCTTTCCTATTATCGCTTTTCTTATATCGCACAGGTTTTTTATGTCCTATGTTTATTTTCATTTGTGTTAGATATTTTCTAATTTCCCTTTTGATCTCTTCTTTGACTCAGTGCTATGTCTCCCCCGCCTCTGCTGCCCACCTTGGTCTCTGCCACCCAGCTGGGCCTGCTGACCCTTGCCCCCCACTTTCCTGGTTTTACATCACATCCAGGCTGCTATTTCTAAAGCACCAATCTGGCGTTTTCAGACTGTTTAAAATAATTATCGCTTAAAAGAATTCAGTCGTTTCTTATTTCCCTTAAAATAAATTCAACCAGATTCCTTACTCTGGGTAATAAACCTGCATTTGATGGACACCTGCTCAGCTCTCGGCTCATCTTCCCACACTCCCCACCGGTGTCCTTTAAGCTCCAGTCATAATAAACTTCTGTGAGTCCCCAAGCGTGCTCTGTTTTCCTTTGTGTCTAGGACTTTATGCACGCTGTTCCCTGGACCTACAACAATCTCCCCACGACTTCTGTCCCCTTCCCTTGCCCTGTTCCTCCTTGTCCCGGGGAATTAGCGCAGGCGTTCCCTCCAGGGGGGACCGTCCCACCCCTTCAGGCTGCGTCACACGCAGCCTCCGTGTGACAGCACCCAGTGTGTACCTTTATCAGAAGCCCTGATCTTTTACTGCAAGCACCTCTTTCCTCCAAAGCCCTCCCTTAAAATCAAGTTTTGTTTTTTTCTTTTTCTTCTTCCTTTTGTTTAAAATTAAGTTTCTCGAGGAGCTTAGTTCACCATCATCTCCTTAGCACCAGCACAGTCTCGCGTGGGGTGGGCACTTGGGAAACATTTTCTGAATGAATGAATGAATGAATGGATGGCCATAGCTGCCTTGTATTTCAGAACACAAAGTATGTGGTCAAAGCTGGACTCAAAAGAAAAGTAGTAGTTTTAAATATTTTAACTTTAAAATAAGCAAATTAAAATAAACTCAGAGACTTAGAAGTTTCCCTGTAAGCTAGAAATAAAAGGAAATTTCTTGGGTTTGACAACTACCAGAAGCCAAATCCGGGGCGCCTGGGTGGCTCAGTCAGTTAAGTTTCTGACTTCAGCTCAGGTCATGGTCTCGTGGTTTGTGGGTTTGAGCCCCACTTTGGGCTCTGTGCTGACAGCTCAGAGCCTGATTAGGATTCCCTCCCTCCATCTCTCTCTCTCTGCCCCTGTCTCGCTCACAAGTGTTCTCTCTTTCTCTGTCAAAGTAAATAAACCTAAAAAAAAAAAAAAAAGACGTTAAAGCAAACATCATACTTAAGGAAGAAATTTTAGTAGTATTCTCTTTAAAGTTGGAAATGAGGCATATATGCCCACTGTAACCCATATAATTCAGCATTGTTGTTAGAGACCTTCATCAGTGCAAAGCAGTAGTTAGAAATAATAGGTCTAAATATTGGCAAAGAACAAGTAAAAATGTCACTCTGTGTAAATATGATTGTTTACCTTTAAAAAAAACAAATCAACTGAAAACTACTCAAGGTACAATTGACCCTTGAACAACACCAGTTTGAACTGCGTGGGCCTATCTGTAAGGGGATTTTTATTTTTTATATAAACACAGGCTAGCCATGTATTTTCTCTTCCTTATGGTTTTCTTAATAACATTTTTTCTCTAGCTTACTCCAGTGTAAGAACACAACGGAGAACATGTATAACACACGAAATACATGCAGTCGACCTTGTATGTTATTGACAGAGCTTCCCTAGTCAAGTTTTAGGGGCGTCAAAACTACACATGGAATTCGACTATGTGGGGGAGGGGGTCGGCACCCGTGGTCCCCAGCTTATTCACGGGTTAGCTGTAATGAAGTCCACTAAGACGACAATACAAGAGAAATCTCCAAGTGTTCATAGCTTTGCATAGCTTTATTGTCAGCCATAAACAATGATAACATCTATTTTTAAAGAGCCTGCTTATTATTGTGTCAATAAAAACTGTAAGGTGCATAGGAAATAATTTATCAAGAAATATGCAAGACCTACCTACATCATGGTTAAGAGTTCGGTTCTGGAATGAACTATGTGGGTGTGAATCTTGGCTCTTGTGTTACCCAGCGGACAACCTTTGGAAAGTTTGACGGCTCTGTGTGTATGTGTGTGTAGAAGAAATAACTAACAAGACATATGGACGTGCGGTTAGCACTTCTATGCGTACATAGTTTGCAGCCTCATGTTGACCTGGCCAGCTTCTCAGCTGCAAGGTGGAGCTAATAGGAAGTACCTCCCGGCTGGTGGGGGGTGGGGGCCGTAAACCGTGGGAAGTCAGGTGCCACAGCTTTCGTGGAGTGCTTGCTTTGTCTACAGTAAGGACTTTGCATTACATCGGGTTCTGTGCTGATGGCTCGGAGCCTGGAGCTGCTTCCAGTTCTGTGTCTCCCTCTCTCTCTGCCCCTCCTCAGCTCACACCCCCTCTGTCTCTCTGTCTCTCTCTTGCAAAAAATAAATAAATAAACATTAAAATGTTTTTTTTTTAAAAAGAGAGAACCAAGAGAGGTTCCTCTGAGTTTTGCACTTCACAGGCCAGCAAAATGCTAAGACCTCTCAAGATCTGGCGGAAGAAATTCTTTCGATTTCTCATGTGCTTATAGTCTTTGCATCTCCCTACATCCACCAGACTTGAAACTCAACACTTCTTTGTGTTCCCTGAAAGTTTTCTCTCTCACAAAAGCTTTAATGAACAAGGTTTTTTCCCTAGAGATTTAAAAAAAAATTTAATGTTTATTTATTTTTTAAATTTTTTTTAACGTTTTATTTATTTCTCAGAGAGAGAGAGAGAGACAGCATGAGCAGGGGAGGGTCAGAGAGAGACAGGGAGACACAGAATCTGAAGCAGCTCCAGGCTCTGAGCTGTCAGCACAGAACCTGACGCGGGGCTCAAACCCACAAACCGTGAGATCCTGACCTGAGCTGAAGTCGGATGCTCAACTGACTGAGCCACCCAGGTGCACCAGTGTTTATTTTTGAGAGAGAAACAATGCAGGCAGGGGAGGGAGAAGATAGAGAGAGGGAGACACAGAATCCAAAGCAGCTCCAGGCTCTGAGCTGTCAGCACAGAGCCTGACGCGGGGCTCGAACTCACAAACTATAAGATCATAACGTGAACAAAAGTGAGACATTTCACCCACTGAGCTGCCCAGGTGCCCGTCCCTAAAGATTTTATATGTTTTTTTTTTCTGAAGGAGGAGCTTTTTGTTGCCTATGCACAGCAAACAACTTAAAGATTCACATTAGATATTTTTGTTTTCTGGAGACTCCTCTGTGTTAACCCACCTCTGGGAACTTCTCTCTTGTCTCCACCTCCAGCTCCACCACCTCTTTTCCAAGCACCCTTCCACCATCCCCACTCAGCTTCACGTTGCTTTCCTTTCCTGATACAGAGCAATCCCGCCCTCTTTGGCTCCCAGGGACTCACGTACATAAACCAGTCAGGTCCACCGTAGGCCAAAGCCCTTTGCTTTAAGGGGACCTCCCACCTGCCGTCAAGTTGCTGCAGACCTAGAAGCAGCCACGTCTCCTACTCTATGTAATTCAGTCCATTCGCTGCTGCGTGGTCAGAATGTGAACGGTATTTGTCCTATGGTTGTTCTATGGCCCTGTTCTTAAAGGAATTTGCCTTTTTTCATATTTGTTTTTATCCCAAAGGTGTCCCTCAGCCTAATATAACTTGGTTGAAGAGAGGAGGACCTCTGAGTGACAATATTTCCTTGCTTTTCAATGGATCCCTGTTGTTGCAGAACGTTTCCCTTGAAAACGAAGGAACCTACATCTGCACAGCCACCAACCCTCTAGGAAAGGCAACGGCAACGTCTACACTCCACTTGCTGGGTAAGTGTCTGGTGCTTCTGCTTCAAGGGCTTCCCGTAATACGTACAAGGTTTCGTCCGTGCTGGACTTGCGGAGTAAACTCGAGGGACATTACATGGTTGTAACCACGCTTGCCTCTGGCCACTTCCACACTGAGCCCTGCACCTGGCACTTGTCTTCCCATAGAAGGCTGTGCCTTTCTTGCTACTACTTCTCTGCCCAAGTACCTACCGTGCCACATAGTTTTCTGCCCAGAATCAAGACCCTTCGTGTTCTGCCTGTATATTTGCTCATCTGCTGCCCTGACCCCCCATTCCAGGCCAGCAGTGAGCTCTGTTCTAGTCAGTGTGGTCTCCTGCACCATCATCCAACAGAGCCCCCCACCCACATGCTGTTTCTCTACAAGTATGGCTTCCAGACACACTGCTCTCCAAGGAAGAGGTGTCCCTCACTGCCTTTCTCATGGGATAGATCAGGGCCAACTTCTGTCACTTGCACAGGAACTAATGCCTCCTGTGTAAATCCTCTGATTGCATCTGACTCTTTTGTCTGGTCTTACCGTTGGTATCGGAGCAAGTCCTAACACACATTGCTCTCCAGTTGTTTCCTCTTGTATTTATGTTTCCTCAGTTAAATTGCAGGTCCTTTAATTATAGAGACCGTGGTTTTTTTTGTTTTTGTTTTTGTTTTTGCAGCCCTGAGGATATAATATAGTTGGGGGCACACAGTGGGTTCTCCATAAATACTAATAAATTGAGTCTTAAGACACCTTACTGTTGGGTCTGTATTGTAATTTGGAGACGTTCATCACAATGTGCCCCTCGGCACAGGATGACAAGTTGTGGCTGCTCCTACTCTCTGTCGGGATAATATCTGAAGTTCATTCCCTTCCCCTACTTTCATCCCTTTTGTTTCTTAAATTCCACATGTGAGTGAAATCATATGATATTCATCTTTCTCTGACTGACGTATTTTGCTCAGGATAATACACGTTGTTGCAAATGGTAAGATTTCATTCTTTTTGATCACCGAGTAGTAGGGGAAGGAAAAATAAGATACAGAGAGGGAGGCAGACCATAAGAGACCTTTAAAGACAGAGGGTTTCTGGAAGGAGGTGGGTGGGGGATGGGCTACCTGGGTGATGAGCATTAAGGAGGGCACTTGTTGGGGTGAGGGCTGGGTGTTATACGGAAGTGATGAATCACTGGAGTCTTCTCCCTAAACCAATACTACACTGTATGTTAACACTGTTTAAGTTGAGTTTAATAAATTAATTAAAAATATATATCTGGAGTTCAGCAAATTCTTGTCACCAACATGGGCTTTAAATTGTTGAGGTTTTAGGACTCAATAAATAATACTCCTCTTTCCCACCAGAGTTTGGAACCAAGTGAGAGTTGATCACAGAAGTCAGTCAGATGGACATTAGGGATCATTCCATAGTCTTCTCTGTAGCTCCAGCCCACCCCCCCACAGGTGTAGTAAGTGCTAAATACGTGCTTCACAGATGCATGAAATTGAGTCATTGGTGGATGTGGCATGAGATTACTATAGAGTTCATTGCTGAACCAAAAGATGATGGAAAAGAACCTTCTTCATGGTGTTTCTTATTGGCAGTTGGAGGAGCCCAAGGACACGATGGGTGGGAGGTGCCCGTGTGGGGCTCGGAACTGTCATCCGGCAGGAAGCACTTTGATGTCCACTCAGTCCTCTGATACTTACATCAGCACAGGGTCAGGGGCAGTCATTTTTAATCCCGGCACTTAAATGAGGAGCACCGAAACTCACAGAAAGTTTTCCTAGGGCCCAAATATATAGCCTGCTCTTTATTTTGTTTTTAAATTTCTTAATATTTATTTATGTTTGAGAGAGAAAGACAGAGTGTGAGCAGGGGAGGGGCAGAGAGAGAGAGACACAGAATCTGAAGCAGCTCCAGGCTCTGAGCTGTCAGCACAGAGCCCAATGTAGGGCTCGAACTCATGGCCTGCAAGATCATGACCTGAGCCAAAGTCAGACAGTTAACCAACTGAGCCACTCACTCAGGCGCCCCTCTAGCCTTCTCTGTGAGCGTTCTTCACACTACACCCCCTAGACTGTCCGTGCTGATCAGGAAGGCACTGGTGTACCTCCCTGTCTCCCTTCCCAAAGAGACCCTGTGGTCTTCGAGGATCTTAGAATGCAAGATTCTTAACCGATGGGCTTGGCCAAGCCTGTCAGATTGCTGCATGCCTTCCCCATGCTCTGAGAAGTGCCAGCCTCATCCCTTGCTTCTGCTCCTCTCCACTCCCGAACCTCCATGGTGGCCTCAGCTCCGCCCTGCACATCTCTTCCCTCAGGGGTCGCTCCCACTAGCAGCTCATGACTTGGCTGACTTGGCTGGAATCAAGAATGTCTCCCATTGCTCACTACATGGCATCCCTCCCTCCGCCACCCTGCCCTCATGCTCGAGCTCCACTGCCTTCCTGAAAGCCCACCCCCCATGTGAGGTCCCCTACAAAATGTCACCCGTTCTCCTGCTGCTCAGGTGCCTCTTGCGAGGAGGGGCTTTGCTGTTCTCAGCTGCTTCCTCCGGTCCCTTTCAGAATTACAGGGACTCCATTTTCTCCATCGTCTTAGGCTATAAGCCTTGAACACATGCAGAGCCACCACGTGTTAACATAGCTGTTCTAACTAAACCCTGATAGTATCCCACACCCCCCCCCACGAACCCCTAGGTGTGTGAGAGCCTGAGCATCGGGACACAACATTTCTTCGGCAGGAGCTGACTTCCTAGTGGCTGGATTCTCTAAGGACACCCAGGCTGGAATAGGAGCTAGATGATGTTTAACTGGCAAACAAGTGCTCCTTTTCTCTCTCTCTCAGAACAAAGACGGTTGGACAGGAAACGTGGATTTCCCAAAGACCATAAAAAGCCTCCGCTCCAGGCATCCAACACGGGAGCCAGCAGCAGTGACACAACCGGAGAGCCCGTACCTTCAGGTCGGAGATTTTGACTTCTTAAGGATTTGCGTTTGAGAGGGCTGTGCAAGGGAAAGGGTTTCGCTACAAGATGCTCCGTATTTTGCACTTCTCGATAAGTAAAATTATTCCCAGGCGCTTGGCCAGCTTCTCCCTTGCCCTCAGGCTTCTGTGGCTCAACTTGTTCCTTCCATAGCAAAACATTTCTGAAGAAGAAATCGATCCGGGGAGGCCCGCAGGGATCATGTCCCAAGTGTGCATCAATATTTGTGATAAAACGGGTATTGGTTTTCCAGTTTCAAAATGATTGCCAACTTGGTAAATATTCACAGAGGGGAGATTTGTTAAGAATTCTGGAACCTGTTCCTTCATTCTTCTCTTTTCATAAATTCTTCCCTAGACTTGTTAGCTTTGTTAGACATCAGTGTTCAGTCAGGAGAACCCAATCTAAGTATTTCAAGCTTGTAGAACTCTTCAGGAGGCCAAGCGAGAGAGGTCGAGGTAAGAAAATCAGAAATGCTGGAAGCACAGAAAACCAGTACTGATGATCCCAGATTCTTGTAGCTCAAAAATGGGTAAATCACAGAAGGACACAGATGAGCTGCTGTTACACCTCACACTTTGTTATACTTACTCTACAGGAAAGGGACTGGCGATGTCATTTTGACCTTTTAAATCTTGAGCAAATGTCTCTCCTTTGCAGAGCATATCCCAGAGAATAGCTGTACAGGTAGGGATTCTAGAAATGTAGGTACCAGGCTCCCACCTTCTCGGATGCAGGGAGAGCATAGAAGAGAGGAAAATAGTGCTGGGCCACCCATCAAACAGTCTAGCTCACGTTATTCATGTTATTTATGACATCTCTCTCCAGGAGTATTTATATCTCTTCTCCTCTGTCAGGCATACTACTGCCATTAGAAAATGCATTATTATCCATTTATTCCTCATTTGTCTTAGTGTGTTTGAGCTGCTGTAACAAAAACCACAGGTTAGGCGGCTCATGAACAACAGACGTCTATTTCTTACAGCTCTGGAGGCTGGAAGTCCAAGATCAAGGCGCCTGCAGGTCTGGTGTCTGGCGAGGACTTCCTCGTTCACAGCCATCTTCTCGCTGTGTCGTCACATGGCAGGGGTGAGGAAGCTCCCTGGAGCCCCACCCTCGTGACCCCATCCCCTCTCAAAGCCCCCCCACCAAGAACATCACATCGGATGTTAGGATTTGACATCTGAATTTTGGGGAAACACACACATTCAGTCTACAGCAACATGCCACAAGTATCTGCCCGGTGCTTCCTCTTGCCAGGCTGGGGTAAAGGGATCACCTTGCCCTTGGGAAGCTCATAGTCCAGAGAGGGGGCAGTCATGTGAGCAGGTGTTTTAAGGCTGTGTGACACGTACTCTAATAAAAGGGTGACCAGGTGGGCACACTGGCAGCACCGAGGAAGGGGCCCTGACTCCCTCTGGAGGAGACAGCCAGGTCTTCACATAGGCCGTGATGCTTGTTCTGGGAAGGGGAAGAACAGCATTCCAGGCAGAGACACAGAAAGTGCAAAGGCAGAGAGGAGCTCCATGTGGAAGGGTGCCTGAGGCCAAGGAGCCCTCTCAGATCAATTACTTTACAAATTGGATATCATGAGTCTGAAGCCACTGGGATAGCTGAAGCCTTTGGACTATTTCAACATTGGCTTTGCCAGTGCTGCCATCTTGTTTGAGGACCTCCTACACCGCCCCCCCCACATCCATGTATCCACATTCTGAAAAAGACAACCTACTGAATGGGAGACCCACCTGATAAGGGGTAACAGGCAAACTATATGAAGAACATAGGCACCTCACCATCAAAATAACATATAGTCTGACTAAAACAGACAAAGGACCTGAACAGACTTTTTTCCAAGGAAGACCTACAAATGGCCAACAGACACATGAAAAGATGTTCAGCACCACTAGTCATTAGGGAAATGCAAATCAAAACCACGATGAGATATCACCTCATACCTGTAAGAATGGCTAGAATCAAAAAGAGAAGAAATAGCAAGTATTGGTGAGGATGTGGAGAAAAAGGAACCCTTAGGCACCATTGGTGTGAATACTGGTAAATTGGTAAAACCGTAGAAAACACTATGGAGGTTCCTCAAAAGTTTAAAAATAGAACTACCATATGGTCCAGTAATTCCACTATTGGGTATTTAGACAAAAAAAGAAAAGACTAATTTGAAAAGATATATACACCCCTATGTTTATAGCAGCATTATTTACAATAGCCAAGATATGGAAGCAATCCAAGTGTCTGTCAGTAGATGAGTGGATAAAGAAGATTTGGTGCATATGTACACAATGGAATATTACCCATAAGAAATATCAAAAATCTCACTATTTGCAACACCATAGATGGAGCTAGAGGGTATAAGGCTAAGTGAAATAAGTCAGAGAAAGACAAATACCATGTGATCTCGCTCGCATATAACATTTAAGAAACAAATAAGAGGAGGAAAAAGAGAGATTTAAAAAACACTCTTTTTTTTTTTTAATGTTTTATTTATTTCTAGGAGAGAGAGAGAGAGACAGCGTGAGCAGGGGAGGGTCAGAGAGAGAGGGAGTCACAGACTCTGAAACAGGCTCCAGGCTCTGGGATGGCAGTCAGCACAGAGCCCGACACGGGGCTCGAACCCATGAACCGCGAGATCATGACCTAAGCGAAAGTCGGACGCTTAACCGACTAAGCCATCCAGGCGCCCCTTTAAAAAACACACTTAAATACAGAGAACAAACTGATGGTGGCCAGAAAGGAGGTGAGTAAGGGGATGGGTGAAATAGGTGATAAAGATTAAGAGTGCATTTATCTTGATGAGCACTGAGTAATGTACAGAACTGTTACTATGTTAGTTATACTTCAATTTTAAAAAAATTAGAGTTTATTCCTAAAACACAGGAAACTATTGAGAAGTCTTATATGAGAGTGAATATGATCTTTTCAAATGCTCTTGTATCCAAAATCATTCACCATAAACCAAAAAAGTTATCAAACAGAACTTCGTCAAGATTATTAAAGTCTGGTCATCAAGGACACCATTAAGAATATGAATAGATAAGCTGTAGGTTGGGAAGAAAGTTTGGCAGAACATATGTCTGATGAGGAACTCATATCTAGATTATGTAAAAACAAAACTCCTACAAGATAACAATGAACCCTCCCATTCCCCCAAAAGAGACACTGAGCAAAACAATTGCACAAACGGTTCACACAGAAGATACACAGATGGGGTGGATATACAGGGAAATGACCATTAAAACCACTGCTAGGAGAGTGAAACCAGAAAGACTGGCAAAGCCAGGTCTTGGTAAGGGTGTGCAGCTGCTAAAACGCTTACACATTGGTGGTAAGTGTGTAATCTGTAAACCCCTCTGGAAGACTGTGTGGTGGTTTCTGATAAAGTGAAGCATACACCTGCCTTTGACCCAGCAATTCCGCTCGCAGGTAGTTACCCAAGAGACGTGAAAACACATCCATGGAAAAATGTGCACAATAATGCTCATAGCAGCCTTCACTTCCTAACGGCTATCAAAAGGAGAATGGATAAACAAGCATGGCATTTTCAGACATTAGAACATTATTTAGCAATAAAAGAGAAAGGGCTACCGACATGTACAACAATACGGGTGAATCTCAAAAATGTTATGTTAAGCAAAAGAAGCCAAATGCAAAAGACTAAATGCATGAAGTCCAAGAACAGGGACACTAGTAATGAACACTGATGGTGATCAATAAGTAATTGCCTGGTGGGGGAGGGGAATTGATGAAAATAATTCAGATTAAAATAATTGATTAAAATAAACTAATTAATCATTAACATTGGTTAAATTAAGAGGAAACTTCTTGGGTGAGGAAGTGTGTTATGCCTTGTTTTGGATCATGGTTACAAAGGTGCATATAATTGGGAAAACTCATAAAACTGTACATCTGATTTCTGAGGATTTTTTTTGTATGTTAATTACACCTCAATACAAGAAAAAAAAAACAACCCACATTTTTAAAGAAATGCATATGCCCTGCCTTGAAGTGTCAAGGTGTGTTTGTGAAGTATAACATACAAGAAAGAGTTAGATGCAGAGTCAGACATACTTGGGTTCTGGGAGAAGGACCTTGAGCAAAATCACTTGGCTTTTTCTAACTTCTACCAATAAAACTGATCTAATTCACAAGATGGCCATAAGGATACGTGAAAAATTGATGGCTAAGTATCTAATTCCATACCCCCATCACCTGGGAGCTTCTCCCTAAACACAGCTATTTAAAAAAATTGTTTTAAATTAAACTGTAATCCTAGGGGCCCAACTAAAAATATATACTGTTTTGTTTTGCCAATTATACCATATGCAACTTAAGACAAAAATTCAAAAATCAGAAGGAAAATCTGGAAAACAGTAAGTTACAGAAATCACTTGGCTCTGTGAGGGCGTATGTGGACACAGCTGGTAGCTATCAATTATTTGTGATTGTGACAGGAAAATCTGGCACCTTCTGTGGTTGTACACACAAATCTTTCATCATCGTATTGTACCTCATCTTTTTACTGAGTGTCAAAAGGGAAGGGAAAGGCCGTTTGGAATGAGGACTGAAATTAATAAGCCACAATTACTGGAGGTGGTCAGCCTCAACTTTGCTAAAGGAAACTACCATTTTTACCTTTCCAGATGTCTCCGTGACAAATTATTTATGCGGTTCCAGGAGTAAGCTGAGGTTTAGATTAAGAATTAATGGAAAAGTAAGAATGGAATGAAGTGCATTTTTAACCTGACTGCTTAATCCAAGGTCCCTGCTAAATGGTCTTTCATTTCTCGGCCTGATCCACTTGCGAGAAACAGAACTGGTTAGAGCAACCCCCGGGGACGCCCTCCCCGCCCGTCTTCTTGGCTCTGCTCTGAGCATCCCCTTCCTCCCTCTGGATTCTTTTGGCAGGTCTAGCTGGCCTCCCATAGCACCTCTCCCAGGCTGGGGTTCAAGGGGCCCATGCTGGCCACCGTTCCCGCCGGTTATTACAAGAAGTCAGTGGAAGGAAAATGAAATGCACCACGGGATGGCTTTACTTTCTCTGAGCTTCTCGAAGAAGCAGACTGGCAGCTCACCAGAGGACAGCTCCTGGTGGTCTTTGGCCGTGTCCCCTCCAGCCTCATCATCATATCTCATTCAGGGCCGTCATGACATTTCATTTCCTTTCTGCAGAGCCTTTCTGGGAGCTCGGTAACTGGACGCATTGTTCTGCCACCTGCGGCCGCTCGGGAGCCCGCATTCGGAGACCCCGGTGCATCGTGGCCAGCGGGCAGGAAGTGAGTGAGGCCCTTTGCCGTCACCTCCAGAAGCCGCTGGCTGGGTTTCAGCCCTGCAACGTCCGGGACTGCCCTTCGAGGTACACGTCATCGCTCTTATCAGTACCGGGTTTTTGCTTATGTTAGAAGGCTCGCTGATGTGCATTCACTGCCACGATCGTGGAGATGCATTTAGCACGCACTCTGCACCGGGCGCTCTGCTAAGTGCCTTGTGTGGTTAGTTTCCTGTTTTGCAGGTGGGAAGGTTGCTCCAAGGCCACACAGTTAAAAGGCCAGAGTTCCAATGGACATTATCTGTGTTCAGGGCCCTTGCTCTTGACCACTACTCAAATCCACTCCCTGCACTCACAGTGCTGCCCGGTCCTTAGCGGAGCTGGTTCTGTGGGTCGAGCCTCAGTGATCGCATGGAGGTTCTGTTCAGAGTGCCGATCCCTAGATTCCACCCCAGCGGTAAAAACCACTAACGACCTTTCTATGCAATGGATGATAGAAATCAGTAATTTTTTTTAAGTTTTTTTTTTTTTTTTTTCCCTGACAGAGAGACAGCATGAGCAGGGCAGGGTCAGAGAGAGAGGGAGAAATCAGTAATTTTTAAATGCCCCAAATCCAACTCCTGATCCCCAGCAAGCCTGGTCCACTTCCAGGCATCCAGATTCAGTCCTGCGTCCCAGCCCCCCCCCCCCCTTTCTCTCCTGTCCGTCTGTTCCTGTGCGTTTCCATGGTTCCCGCGGAGCGCACGCGACCACCGCCCCTCACGTGCAGCGCCCGGCAGCTTCCTGCTTCTCATCCCTCCTAGAGGGCTTTTCCACTGTGTGAGCAGAACAGTCTTGGAAAGGCAGATTCTCCTTTAATCATTCTTAGGACAAAGGCTGAGATCCCTAGTGCTGGGGTCATGTCTTGCCTTGTGCGTTTTTTCAACCTGTGTCTAAAATCGTGCTTAACATGGGGCCCCTGGGGGGCTCAGTCAGGTGAGCACCGGACTTCAGCTCAGGTCAGGATCTCACCATTCGTGGGTTTGAGCCCCACGTCGGGCTCTGTGCTGACAGCTCAGAGCCTGGAGCCTGCTTCGGATTCGGTGTCTCCCCCTCTCTCTGCCCCTTCCCTGCTCACATTGTCTCTCTCTCGCTCGCTCTCAAAAATAAACATTAACAAAGTTCTTTTAAATAGTGCCTAGCACACAGCAGGTGCTCAGTGACACCTGACTGAACGCTTGAGGCAAGAACAGAAGCCCAGTGCGTGTGCCGGGGGCGGCCGTCCTGCGTCATTGCTGGCATCTGCCAGCCTGGTCATCTGATCTCCACCCCACGCCATTTGCTTGTCTCTCAGATGTGCCATTCTCCTGACTCAGAGTCTTTGCATATACTGCTCCCGCTGCCTACAACACTGTTCCCTTTCTTTGCTCTCAGATATTTCCGTTCATGTATTTTCAGGGAGACCATCCCTGACCTTACCCTCCAAGCCCAGCGAGGGCCCCGTGCCGCGTGTTTCCTGTTTATCACTCGTCTTTATCGCTCTTCCCACAGTCTGTCTTGTCTCACTAGACTGTCCGCCCGGCGAGGGCGAATCCACAGCTGTTTGCAGAACACTTTACCCCAGCACTTAGCACACCCTCCGCCCCAGGAAACCGATTACACTGAAATCCAGTGCTAAAATATTTAAAAATTATGATACAGCAACACACTAACTAGTAAGTTCTAGCGGTACATTAATTTTGCAGCGGTGATGAATACAAACGGTGTTTTGAGGTGCCTGCTACAATTGTAAGGTCATGTAAAAACATCTGTGGTTTCCGTCGGTGACAGAATCACACAGGTATTGCTAATTCTACTGTATTTTGCGGCTGATGCGTTCCTAACTGAAGGAAAACCAAATTTCAGTTATAGCCCAGTGACAGTGAAGATGTAATTCTTTGCCCGCCCAGGCCCCTAGGGCTCCAGCTGGGAACCCCCCCTCTGCAGCGAGCCAGCAAACTTGAACCTAGTTAGTGGCAGAGCATCCGTCTCAGATGTCCAGTCCCACGTGCCCTGTGTCACTGCAGTGTGGACTTTAGGGTCAGACAAACCCAGAGCCCCATCACAGCTCTGTTGGCGTATCGTTACCTGTGACCCCCACCCGCTGTTGACCCCTTTGGACGTTGGGAAGAATAAGGATAATGTGTAAACCTCTCGTGGAGCAAACGGCACATCAGAGCTTTAAAAATATTTTCTTCCCTTTGGTTTCAACGAATTGAAACCCACCTTTTTGAAATTTCCACCTTATTTTGCCCCAGCTCTACTCTCTGGGGCCACACAAGCGCTCTTAGGTACTTGGAGACAGCCCTACCCCACCCCGCGTTGCCTGTCTCCGCCTGCTAATTCACTAGCTCCCCTGGATAAAGGAAAATCTGAGAAGAGAGCCGGGGGTTCTCTGCGCTGCCGTTCACCCCCCTAGAAATGCACGGCCCCCAAACGGTCACAGTGTGAGGACGGAGTTTTTTCTTTTCTTTTCAAGACACACCCGCTGCAGTGCCTGCCCTCCCCGTCCTTGCTGAGCCCCTGTTGTTTTTGTTCCTAGGTGGCTCACAAGTGCGTGGTCAGGGTGCTCGGCCTCCTGCGGGGAAGGAGTCCGCAGTCGGCAAGTGACCTGCGTGCGCACGAAAGCCAACGGAGCCACGCAGGCGATGCCTCCGAGGGCCTGCGCTCCCGGGGACAGGCCTCCGGGAGGAAGGCCGTGCTCCGGGAGCCCCTGCGGCCAGGGGGCCGTCGGACCGGGCGGCCAGGTAAAGCCAGACAAATCGAGTGTTCTGACCGGGCCGTCATCATCACGTTGCTTCTAATACATTAGTTCCAATTTAGGCGGGATCTGATTGATCTCTAAAATGAATCAATGGGTCTGACCTCCAGGATTAGATCTGGAAATCACGGTGTCCCTGTCTTCGATACAAAGGTAAACCACAGCTGGGCTCTTTGAGTGCGGCAGCTCCCAGACTGACGAGCGGCCTTCAGGAAAAGGAGCAGAGGGACGTTGGTAATAAGGGCACAGAAGTCCTGTGCCCCACGTACCACCTTGAACAACAGCATAAACAGAAAGTATTTGGGAAAGCTGTTTTTAAAGAAATGTGTAGGAACCTTACTCGCCTGCTGGGGCCGCTGAAATAGAACACCACACGCCGGGTGCCTTCACGCGCAGAAGTTTCTTTCCTCACAATTCTGGAGGCTGGAAATCCAAGATCAAGTCCTGTCAGGGCTGGTTTTGGTGAGACCTCTTTCTGGCTTAAAAACAGTCACCTTCTCACTGTGTCCTCAAAGGCCTCGTCTCTGTGTAGAGAGATAGGTAGAGATAGAGATCGAGAGAGACAGAGAGAGAGAGAGAGAGATTTCTGGGGTCTCTTTCTTCTATTATAAGGACACTGTTCCCATCAGATTAAGGCCCCCCCTTTTGTCTCCGTTAAACCTTCAGTACCTCCCTGTGGAAACTGCCACCTCGAGGGTTTGAGCCTCAACATGGAAATTTTGAGGGGTCGCAGCTTGGTCCACAGCACTCCGCCTCCCGGCCCCCGCCCCCAAATTCATGTCCTTGTGTGCAAAGTACATCCGTCCCACCCCAGTACCCCTAGAGGTCTTAACCCATCCCGTCCTCAGTTCAAGTCCGGAGTCTCACTACATGCCACATAAGCTAGGTGTGGGTGAGAAGCGAGGGGTCCTGGGGCAGCATCCCTCTCACTCTGAAGCTGTGGGAGCAGACACATTACGGCCTCCGAAATACAGGCATGGGACAAGCAGAAGATAGACGCTCCCTTTCTGAAAGAGAGGAGCCGGCAAATGAAAGGGCTGAGGGGTCCCAGTCAAGTCCAAACTCTAGCAGGGCCAATCCACCAGGTCCTCACACTTGAGGACAGTCTTTGGCTTCCGCTCACCCCCCCGCCCCAGACCCACCAGGACAGTGACATTGCTCCCACCCTAGACGGCAGCCGCCCCTGTGTGGCTCTTTGGAGCAGTCCTGCCCCTGACGCACGAGGCAGGGACAGGCGGCCCATGGAAATTGAGGAGGGGGCCCCACTCCCTGAAACTGGGGGGGAAACAGCCTTGACCTGTGTGCGGTGGGACTGGCAGCCTTGGTGAGCTCTGAATCGGGTCATTCTTCCCTCTTCCTGAAAGATAAAACGTGTTTGCAGCTGAATGGCTTTACCCCATCCTAGAGAATCCGCAGTTTCTAAAGCTTTCCTTAATCGGGTCCCAACTGTGTTCCTTTGGTCCAAACTGGCAGTGTCTCTGTGGGCGCCATCGCGTCTCTCCCTGGCTTCCGCTGAGATGGCGGAGTAACTCCATGGCTAATCTCCTCATGGAGCTGTGGTCCGGCCACACCCTCCGTGTTCTCTCCAGAACTATTTTCTCACTCTTCGGAATATGGATGGACCGACAGTTACCAGAATCCTTGCGTGGTGGTTCCTTTTTGCTTAACGGTTCCTTCAGCTTATGTCCGTCCACCGACGTTCTCCTATCAGCAGTAAGAGGAAGCCAGGCTGCAGCACCTTGAGCGCTTTGCGTGGAAATCTCCCCAGGGAAATAGCCAATTTCATCACTCTCCAGGTCTGCCTCCACAAACACTAGAACAGGATTCAGCCAAGTTTTTGCCACTTTAGAGTGATGTTTGCCTTTCCTCCGGTTCCCAGAGGCGTGTTCCTTGCTTCTGCCTGAAACCTCACCAGAATCCCTCCTAATGTTTGTACAGTGAAACCTTGGTTTGCAAGCACAGTTCATTCCAGAAACATGCTTGTAATCCAAAGCACTTTTTTTTTGTTTTTATTATTTATTTTTAATAGAGAGAGAGACAGAGCATGAGCAGAGGAGAGGCAGAGAGAGAGAGAGGGAGACACAGAATCTGTGCTGTTAGCACAGAGCCCGATGCGGGGCTCGAACCCATGAACTGTGAGATCATGACCTGAGCTGAAGTCGGACACTTAACGAACTGAGCCACCAGGTGCCCCTGTAATCCAAAGCACTTGTATCTCAAAGCGAATTTCCCCATAAGAAATAATGGAGACTCAGATGATTTCATTCCACAACCCAAAAATATTCATATAGAAATGTTTATAATACTGTAATATAATACAAAATAATAAAGAAAATACAGAATATAAAGAAAAATAAACTAATCTATACTTACCTTTGAAAACGTTCGTGGCTGGAGTGAGGGAGGCAAGAGAGGAGGGCTACTGTGTAGGACGACTGTCACTGTCACTAACGGAATCACTGCTGCCTCTTGGCTCAATGGAATCTTTTTCCTTTCATGCATCTTTAACAAGGAATCTATCCAATGACCGAGAATGAAGCAAAACGTTCCTAAGTTTGCTCTTGAGTGGAAAAGCAAAGGACTGTCCAGCGGTACTTGGAAGTGACAAAAATACACTAGTGCCAGTTGTGGGCACCTTCCAGTGTTCTGAAAAATCACCAATTTCTGCCAAATCACTGTGGTCTGAGATCGAACATCCGAGCGTGGGAGATGATCACCCCCAATCCCACAGAGAGAGAGAGAGAAGAAGAAGATGAAGAAGAAGGAGGAAGAGGAGGAGACCCACCATTGGCTCAGTGTGGTCATGTGACATTCGGCATCACATAGTACTTGTGTTGCAAGACATCTTTCGTTTATCAAGTTAAAATTTGTTAGAAATGCTTGCTCGTCTTCTAGAACACTCCCAGAGCAAGTTACTCACGATCTGAGGGTTTGCTCTATTTCTAACAACATTCCCTTCAAGGCAGCCTAGGTTTTCTGGCCTGCCCGCCCCTCAGAACTCTTCAGCCTCCTCCCCCCACCCGGTCCCTGAACCACTTCCACAATTTTAGGTATTTGCTGTAGTAGCACCCCACGATTCAGTACCAAAATCTGTATATCTGCATTAGCCAGGGTTCTCCGGAGAAACAGAACGAAGAGGGTGTGTGTGTGTGTGTGTGTGTGTGTGTGAAGAGATTTATGATAAGGAATTAAGTCAGGTGACTACGGAGGTTGACAAGCCCCGGGAGCTGCAGGCAGCTGATATTGTCATTCAAACCCGAAGGCCAGCAGGCCGGAGACCTCAAGAAGAGCCAGCGCTCTCGTTCAAGTCCAGAAGCAGGAAAAAGCCAGTATCTCAGGTCAAAGACAGTCTGAGTCATGAGTTCCCTCTGACTTGGGGGGAGGGTCAGTCTTGGTTTTCTCTCCAGCCCTTCCACTGATTGGATGAGGCCCACCCACATTACAGGGAACAATCTGGTTTCCCTTGACTACTGATTTCAGTGTTCATCTCATCTACAGCCCCCCCACCCCCCCACAGCATCTCCCAGAATCCTAATTGGCCAAGTATCCGGGCCCACCGTGGCCCAGCCAGGCTGACACTTACAAGTAACCGAAACAGAACCCATAAAGAAAAATTGAACACACAATTGAAAACATTATTGAAAAAGAGGACAAATAAAGGAACCCCCTATGCTGTACAGGGATCTGCTTCCTTAAAGGGGCTGAAACATGTAATACAATTCCAGCTAAGACTACAGTAGAATTCTTTTTTTAGAACTTAAGATGATTTGGACACTCACACGGGAGAACAAATGAGCGCACGAAATTTTTGGGAAAAACGACTTCCTAGAAGTGCGGAGAGACCTTCTGACTGTGGTGGTTCAGCGGCTGCGATGCGGCTGTCGGTGAGGTAGCGCAGCGTTCGTGCGGGACGGCAGCCCTGGGTCCTGCAGTGTGCTGATTGGGACACACACAGACCCATGTCAAGTGGGTTAAAGTTCAAGTGTAAGTGATCACAGGGGAGAATGGCTTAGAAAGCTAGTGTTAAACTACCAAAGTGGGTTTTATTTAAAGAAAATTAAAGAAGATGTAAATAAATGGAAAGACATCCCACATTTATGGATCAGAATACTTAATGTGAAGCTGACAACACTTTCCAAATTGATCTGCAGATTCAACACAGTCCCTGTAAAAACTCCCAGCTGGCTTCTCTGCAGAAACTGATGAGCTGATCCTAAAAATTCGTATGGAAACAGAAAGGACTCAGAATCGCCAAAAACAATCTTGAAAAAAGAACACGGTTGGAGGGCTTAAACTTCTTGGTTTCAAAACTTAGCACAGCGCTGTAGTAAGTAAGGTGGTGTGGACAGATAGGGGATAGACCTCAAGGTCGCTACAATAGAATTTCATTTAAGGTCCAGAGATAAATTTCTATATCTGTGGCACTTCGTTTCCTACAAGGGGGACAAGACCATTCAGTGGAGAGGGGCGCCTGGGTGGCTCAGTCGGTTAAGCATCCGACTTTCGCTTAGGTCACGATCTTGCAGTTCATGGGTTCGAGCCCCACGTCGGGCTCTGTGCTCTCAGCTAGCTCAGAGCCTGGAGTCTGTTTCAGAGTCTGTGTCTCCCTCTCTCTCTGACCCTCCCCTGCTCACGCTGTCTCTCTCTCCTAGAAATAAATAAAAACACTGAAAAATTAAAAAAAAAAAAAAGACCATTCAGTGGAGAAAGAATAATCTCTTTGGCAAATGGTGCTGGACAACTGGATACCCACACGCATAGGAGACTGAAGTTGGACCCCTGGCTCACACCGTGTGCAAACATTAACTCCAAGTGGATCAAGGACCTGAATTCAAGAGCTAAACCTACAAAGCTCTTGGAAGACATGTAGACATGAATCTTCATGCCTTGGGTTAGGAAATGGTTTTTTAGGTACGATACCAGAAACACAAGCTACGACGACGTAGTTGGGCGACGTGAAAATTAAACACCTGTGTGCTATGAGGACCTGACTGGGAAGGTGAACACAGTAGAACCAGCACCGTGATCAAGGCCTTTTCAAGCATAAAACAAAGTATAAGGAAAAAGTAATATGTATTATGACATGAAAATTTAAGAATTGCGTGTCAAAAAACTTTTTCCCCCATAACCGAACTCCCTTAACACACAAGCCTCCACTTTTGCTCAGAGCAGGAAAACCCAAGCCTGGCAGTTGCTTATGCTTTTAAGCACAGTCCTATCTGGACCTAAGCCCTGTCGATTACAGATGGCTGGGTCCTTTCCCGTCTCCCTAGAGGTGGTCTATGTTTCGGGGGGACGGGGGGAAGATCCTCAGGTGACTTTCTGGCTCTGAAGGAGGGCTGTCGGTCCTCAGAGCTGCACTCCCGTCCTCTCTGACCTCCCCTCCTAGCCGACTGGCCCCCGAGAGCGCCCCTCCATACATGGCCTTGGTCCCACAGCACGCCTGAGCTCACAGGTTGTCTTTGATGCACTGTGCTTCCATTACAGTGTCCCGCGCATTGCCTGGGTCGCACAGTGAGGATGCCACAGCAACGTGCCACTTGCCAAGGCCACAACAGCTCTGACTCGGGCTGTGACGACAGAAGCAGGTACGGGCCCTGCCCTCGGGCAACGTGAAACCTCTCCCGCCTCAGTCAGTGGCTGTGGGAGTGGAACGATGTCTCCTGTCTACACTCTTCTCGTAACTGACAATTCCTATAGTGCCGTCCTGGACAGGATGTACTATACTGAAATATCAGTCGTCATGTACTGTTACAGTTACAAATCGTTTGAATGCTAAACATGTAGAGAGATACCCCAAAGAGGGAAAAAAAAAAACAGATTAGCAGTGAGACTAGATATTTTTCCCTCTCTACACAAAGTTGGTCAAGCCTAGTAATACTGAAGTTCATAGATTAAGTCTTCCTAATGTTTTCAATGAACTGTATTCCTCTGCTTAGAAACTATTTTGATGGTTTTGTTTGGAACTATTTGGGCACAGTGGTTTAGCAGAGAATGAAGTAGGCTTTTGCCTTGTTAAGGGACTTAAACCAAAAAGGACTTTGCTTTCCTCTTGCGTAGAAGTCTACGCTCTGGTGGATGGCTTGGGGTAGAGAGGCCTTGTTCCGTGAGGTCACACACAGGCCCAGACTCCTTCCCCTTGGTGACCCTGCTGTCCCAGAGCAGGGGAGAGAGCCGAAAGAACACGAAAGGGGGAATTTGGAATTCTCCCACTCTTGCACTGTGTGATCGGCGCTATCCAGCCTCCTCATGTGCAGGAGGCGGTGTTACCGTCCACGTACAATTACGGTTGAGAGGTTTTGAGTAGTTGCTCTAATGTAAAGTACCTAAGCAGCCTGGGTCATCGAAGATTCTCCAGATATGGCTCCCTTTCCCTCCTCCCCTTTCCCTCCTCCCCGCCCTCTGTGTTGCTGGAGAGAACGAGATAGCAGTTGGCTCACTTTTCCATCTTGAGCCTTCAGTGACGATTGGCGACGTGGGATTAGCTGTGTTTCCTCTTCCCCACAACACAACTCAAGCCAGAACTGTTTTCCTCAAATGGAAAATGTCTGGAACAGCTGCCTTCCTTCTCTGTCCTTTGCTGAGAAGACGGAGACCACACACAGAGTGGTAGGGACCATCCCAGATGTTTTACTTTGCATTCGCAAAACTGCACTTGTAACACGGACACTTACCTAATGTGGATTGAGCTTCCTGGATGTATTTTCCTGAAGCTTGTTTTTTTTTTTCTCCTTATCAAGACTTTCCCCATCCTAGTACATGAGATGCACCTTATTCCTTTTCATTGTTGTATTTCACATTACCTCATTCCATTGCTGAAGGACATTTGATTGTTTTGCGGTTTTTTTGTTTTGTTTTTTGTTTTTGTTTTTGCTATTACAAATACTGCAGTAAACATTTTAGAACATATATCTTTCTGCATGAAGGGTTGTATTCTTAGAGGATAATTTTTGGTGTGGAATGGGACGGACAGGGCTCATCGTGCTGATACTACTAAGTTACCATCAAAATTGTCTATACTGAGAGTAAATGAGAGTTCTACCCTTTCCATGAACGTTATAATAGGTTTTCAGGCTTTTTAAAAGTTTTTGCCAATCTGATGGGCGAAAAATCACATCATACTGTAGTTTGTACTTTTCTGATTACTTTCTGTATGCCTTTTGGCTCCTTGTATTTTATTTTTGCAAACCCATCCACTTTTCCCATCTCTCCCACGATTGCCGGGAGCCAGGCCGTCCAACTGGTCACCCTCCACCTGCTGCTGCTTTCCAGCCTGGTGTCCACACTGCGGTCTGAGCAGTCCCTTCCCCAAGCAAATCTGATCGCACCTCATGACACCCACCTCCCTGCGGGATTAAAGTCACGTTAGAGGCTCCCCTTGCTCTGAGTGGGAAGGGTGACCAAAGTATGTGACGTGGCCTGGTAAGTGGCGCACGGTCAGCTGTCCCTGCCCTCACAGCCCCACCCCAGACCTCACCCCCCCAGACCTCACCCCCCCCCCCCCACTGCTGGTGCCGCAGCCACATCGTCCTTCCTCCAGGACTCAAGCTGGATATGCCACTCGCTCTCCAACCAAGGGCAGTGAAAACAAGAAGCCAAGACATGCTAGAGAGGATCAAAGGCGTGGAGGGACCTATCAGGAGGCTCAGCATATGACTAACTGGGGTCTTAGGAGAGGAGTGGTGATGAACCCAAAGAGTGGGAGCGTTTAAAAGAAAGAATGGAAGAAAAATTCCTGGAGCTGGCGGGGGAGGGGGGGAGGAGGGAAGGGGCCAAGTTCCCTTTCATTTTCTCCATCATCTCTGCCTCCTCCGGGTTGGCTGTCCTGCTGCGTCCCTCGCTCTTCTCTCCTGCTGTTAGCGTCTAAACTTGGGACATTAAGGGCTCACAGAAATGGGGTTGTTTTGCGATTTTCGTCGCCACTTCTACTTTCCTGTTTTCTACAGGGAGGCACGTGCGTGCGTGGTGCCCGTGCCCAGGCGGTGTCCCCCTCGCTCCGATGTCCCCCCACCGCCAGTCCAGTCCCTGGCCGGGAGGACGCGGGATCTCTGTGTTGGGCCCACCTTGGGTTCTTTCTCTCGGTCCCCACGTCCCCTTGTCTGTCCTGGGCCTTGCGGCTCCTCCTGCCCGCCCCCTGCCCAGCCCTGCTTCCCGGCAGAGCAGAGGTGGGCCGCGTCAGCTTGGGTGCTTCAGGTCCCGGGAAGCCACAAAAGTCAACTCAGAATGATTTATGCAAAAGAGGCGGGAGATTTCTCATTAAGACAGGACCGCCCAGCACTTGTGCCCACCAGTCTGCTTTTAAAACGCAGGGTTTTGTGCGTATTCCGTGAGTATTTGTTCAACCTTTTTTCGGTAGAAAATGCTGATCTCTGTGTGGCACAGCTGAGGAGTGCTGGGTCTATGCCGGGTCGTCTGGAACAGCTACGACTCATAACCCCTGGGGAAAATAGAACACCCTCCTCCTCCCTTGTAAAACCTTAGAGTTTGGGGGGGACGGTGTTGTTTAAGTAAAAACCTTTGGATGGAGCCTCCCCTTCCTGGCTAATCAAGGTACTGCTTCCGACTACATGTAATACTCGCTCCCCCCGGAGACGCTCAGGTGATCACAACTTTCTCCATCTTCTTACACGTGCAACGCTGTTTCCACTCTCCTCATGGACCGTGTGCCCTGGTAAGGAGCATGTCTTTAAAAAAGTTTTTTAAGGTTTATTTACTTTTGAGAGAGACAGAGACAGAGACAGAGCGGAGGAGGGGCAGAGAGAGAGGGAGACACAGAATCCGAAGCAGGCTCCAGGCTCTGAGCTGTCAGCACAGAGCCCGACACGGGGCTCAAATGCACAAACCGTGAGATCGTGACCTGAGCCGAAGTCGGATGCTCAACCGACTGGAGCCCCCCAGGCGCCCTGGTAAGGAGCCTTTTATAGGAATATATAGACGCGTCTCAAGAATCCAAAGGGGGAGAATGCCATCAGACCACAGGAAGGACCGTGACCAAGAAATGAGAAGTCGCTGGGGATTTTCCTCCTTTGTCTCTGCAGCTCCCTGTGTTTCTGCTTCATTCTTTGTCTCTTCTGAGTATTATTTTCCCCTATTTCTCCGGCCTGTGTGGCACAATGTGGCCACCACTGCTCCAGCCTTCAGGTTTATAGGTCTTGTTCCAGCAACTTCCAGGCTCCTGGAGGAAAGACAGTTATTGAACCAGCTCAGCCGAGCGAGGCCTCCCTTCTGGTCAACTTTGGGGCGGGGAGACGTTCCCGTGTAGCCCACACATACCTCCTAGGACCCCCCTCAGGGAGAAGCCACTCTGAGGTGGCTCTACCTTCTGGGTGAGTGTCCTCAAACACCAGAGGGCACCAGCCCTCTGACCTGTCCTGGAGGGTAAGAGACCACTGACAGACCCCTCTCCCCAGGCGGTCTTTGCTAACTCTGAGCACAGGGCACTGTGTGGCCATGTTGTAAATAGGAAAGCAAGACAGACAAGGCTGCTCACGCCCAGATTTACACTCCTGCCCGGACAAACATCAAGGTCTCACATAAACAAAACGTAGCTTGCTGACAAACTGGAGGTGGCACTCGCACGCTTCCTTGCCTGAACTGATCTGCTCCGGCTCCTCAGGACGGGGTATTATCTGAGGGGCGTGACTCGACCTGGGGTTGGTCGGAAGTGAGTGGAAAGACACGATGGGCTCGCCTGTCATTGTCACGACGGTGCCACGTTGGCCCATTCGCCAGCCGTGCCCCACGCAAGTCAGCTTCCTGACCAACAGTGTCCCGGCTGGTGACCCTTGAGGACCCTGAAAATAACAGCCGTGGAGAAGGCTTGATCCCAGCGAGAAGTGACACCCCGCTTCTCCCACTTACCATTTTCTGGGTTTTTTTGTTTGTTTTTTTTTTCCTTTTTCCCTGCCTCTTTCAGAGCCACCTGGAAGGGGAACTGCTCCTCCACGGCATGTGACGTGTGCTGGCGCCCCGGCCCGTGGAGGCCCTGCACGGCGGCCTGCGGCAGGGGGTTCCAGTCTCGGAGGGTTGACTGCGTCCACGCCGGGAGCTGCCGGCCGGTGGCCGAGAGACACTGCGTGCGGAAGAAGAAACCGGCTTCCTGGCGACACTGCGTGGGGCCCTCCTGCCACAGTACGTGCCGGCCGGTGCCCCGCAGCCTGGTCCCTGCCCCGTGGCCTGGTCCCTGCCCCGCGGCCTGGTCCCTGCCCACGGCCTGGTCCCGGCCCACGAGCCATCAGGGCACAGGCGCCGTCCTGGGGCGTCAGGACACGAGCGGCCTCCACGCAGGTGTGGCGCAGTGGCCTTCCAGGCCGTCGAGGCGGCTGCGTGTCCGTGGCCTTGGCCCCCACGCCCCTCCCCCCTGCCTGCAGCTCTTGTCTGCGAACAGCGGTTCTTAAAGATGTGACCTGTTTGTACGGTTATGTGTTCGCACGGGCACCTGTTTTTGCGCTATTACATATTATAATTGTATTATCTTTGTAAAATAGAATCACAAATATATGTAGCCAGGGAGCAGGTCCCGAGCTTTTCTCGGTTTGCCAAGGGGTCCACACCCCTGCTGGTCCGAGCCCTGAGGGAAACAGCGGGTCTGGGGGTGGGGGGGCTGTGGGGGGAGGCGCTTGGCCTTAATCCCCTCTTAGGTTTGGGTCCAGCCGCCGCGCACTGTGCAGTCGTTTCCCGTGTAAGACGTGGTGGTGACAGCTCTCCCCGCTGTGCCGAGCGCCCCACAAATGCAGCTGCGTCGGCCACCGCCCGGCACCGTCACAGCCCCGCGGCCTGATCCCCAGCCTGGGGTCTCCACCCACTTTGGGATCTCCGTGTGTGCTGGTCACAAGCTCAGAGGATTTAAAAAAAAAATTTTTTTTTTAAATTTATTCTCAAGTTAGTTCTCATACAGGGTAGTCTTGGCTTCAGGTGTAGACACCTGTGATTCATCTCTTACACGTAACCCCCGGGGCTCGTCCCCAGGTGCCGGCCTCACTGCTCAGCCCCGTGTAGCCCCTCCCCCCCCACCTCCCCTCCAGCAGCCCCTTCCCTGTTTGTCCTTTGAGTCTCTTATGGTTTACCTCCCTGTTTTTATCTTATTTTTTTCAAAGGATTTTTTAAATGTTTATTTATTTTTGAGAGAGAAAGAGTGTAAGCTGGATAGGTGGAGAGAGAGAGAGAAAGAGAGGGAGAGAGAGAATCCCAAGGAGGCTCCTCGCTGTCAGCACAGAGCCCAAAGCAGGGCTCGAACTCACAAACCGCGAGATCATGACCTGAGCCGAAGTTGGACGCTCAACCGACTGAGCCTCCCAGGCACCTATCAGAGGATTTTTTAAAAACTACATCTCAGGGCGCCCAGGTGGCTCAGTCAGTTGAGTGTCCAACTTTGGCTCAGGTCATGATCTTGTGATCCATGGGTTCGAATCCCACGTTGGGCTCTGTGCTGACAGCTCAGAGCCTGGAGCTGCTTCGGATTCTGTGTCTCCCTCTCCCTCTGTCCCTCCCCTGCTCATGCTCTGTCTATCTCTGTCTCTCAACAATGAATAAACGTTTAAAAAGTTTAGGGGCGCCTGGATGGCTCAGTCGGTTGAGCGTCCGACTTCAGCTCAGGTCATGATCTGGCTCTGTGCTGACAGCTCAGAGCCTGGAGCTGCTTCAGACTCTGTATCTCCCTGTCTCTCTGTTCCTCTCCCACCTGTGCTCTCTCTCCCTCTCTCTCAAAAATAAAATAAAAATGTAAAAAGAATTTCTTAAAAAAAATTAACAAGCTGTGCGCGTCACGGATACCTGTCTGCTCTTCGCTCCCACAGGGGCCTGCAGGGACGCCTTGCACCACTGTCTGTTCGTGCAGCGTCTCAATCTCTGTTCGCTCGATGTCTACAAACAGAGGTGCTGCCGCACGTGCCGGGAAGGGAAACCTGTGGACGGGCCGTAACGCTGCTGTGAAGAGGAGGCAGACATGTAGAAGCTCCTTCCCCATGTAGCTGGTTCAAACACATGTTATTTCTTTAAAAACTCTAGATTCTGCATTCAAACCGAGGTCGATGCAAACTCGCCGCTGGTGGAATTTTGTGCTGTGGCCGGTCTTTAACTCCAGCTCTTTGACGTGATCCATTCTGGGACCAAGAGACGGGCCGTGGCAGGTGTGCCTTTGCGCGGGGGACCTCCCCGCATCCTTCTAATCAGGAGGTCGCCCGGGTCCCCAGCGCGTGGCCATGTGCTTCCTCCTGTGACGTGTCGCCTGATAGCGTAGGACATCCTGAAGCCTTGAGGGACGCACAGCAACTGGTGCCTTCCTCTTCTCTCAAGTTTTAGGGTTTCAACAGGTTCATAAGGCATTCACACTTTAGAAGCTCCGGCCAGTCACTGCTAAGGTGGCGTGATTGGCATTTCTATGGGTCCTGAAGTGCAGGCCGTGGATAGGAGGCAGTCTCCCTGGACAGGTGTCGCACGGACTGACTCGCGGCTGCTGGGGGCGGGGAGCGGCGGCTTGTCCTTACTCTTAGGGAGCGCGTGGACGAAAACAGAGTAAACCTTGCTGCCGTCTTCACGACCACAGAGAGCTATCTGTGACCGCATGAGGCATCTTGGAAATCGAGGGAGCGGGAAGGGTCACCTTTTCTACTGATTCTGAAGTGTAGTCAAAGCTTTCTTGTAAGAGCTGGGAATGAAACTTCTTCTGAGCACTATTCTCTTGCACACGAACAGAAAAGCAAAGCCTTATTAGACCTAATTTATGCACAAAGTAGTCTTCCTAAGGGTTCTTATTTGGGAAAATTATAAGAAAGTAATCTAAATATGAAGCACGGTGGTTGAAAAGACTTGTTTATGGTAAAGAAGTGTTTTCATTCAAAATGATTTGCCGGTAAATCCAAAGTGGATTTGGGGGGCTGGAAGTTACAGTTAGGACTAGACGTCAGAGTTAGGATTCGGTGAGTAAGTGTAGGGTTCGTTTTAGTTTTAGGATTGGGTTAGCTGGGAATGGAAGTTAGGTGAGGGTCAAGGCTGGAGTTGGCTTTGGGGGTTGGGTCAGGGTTAGGGCAGAGGGTGAGCCCGGAGCAAATGCCTCTGCGGAAGTGCTCCGGGGCTAGCGTGGAAGTGTCCGTTCGAAAGCCCATTTGGTCATGGGGCCCCTCCCCTTACTTCCCACGAGTCACGGCTTTAGATGGTACAGGAGCCCAAGTAAGCGGCCACCCGCCCTCACTCGGCATCCCGGGCACCTGTGTGCGTGCTGCCTGCAGCCCACGGGCCGCGGCAGCGCCTGAAGCGGGTGGCCCTGGACCTGATGGCGAAGACGTGAGCAGTGCGTTTGGTCTTTGGATGTGTCCGCGGGCAGGCTCGCCGAGTCTCTCGACCACGTTCTGAGCGCCAGCTCTCGTGTTCTGACTGGAGCCTCACGGTCACTGGCGGTGAAGACTACTGTACGTGGGGGGGTTTGGCGGCCGGGATGGATGGATGGGAACGTCAAGGGCACACACCAGCCCGTGGGTTGTGAATCATCAGCCACCCTCGATTGTTGGAGGTTTTTAAATTAAAAGAAAGATCATTTGTAAAATACTCTTTGTATATATTTATTATATGACTTAAAGGTGCAATATTTTATTTTGTACAGTATGTAATAAAGACATGGGACATATATTTTTCTTACTAACAAAATTTCTTATTAAATTGCTTCACCTTTGTATTTAAAGTTGCTATTTTTCTTGTACTTTTGTTACCATTCAAACGACGTTCCTGTGTACTGTATTTTACTACTGTTTCTATAACATAAGCGTTAATGTGTCCTTCATGCCCCTTAAGGTGATTCAGAAATAAATTTACTTTGATTATTCAGTGGCATCCTTAGACGCGTGAGTGGCTTGTTTGTATTGTTGTTGTTGTTTATTTTGTCACCTCGGTCTGCCTTCTTGTGGGCCCAGGAGCAAACCTGGAGGGCTCGCTGGCCTGGACGCTCTTGTGAAGTGTGCGTTACAAGGTCCGGGGTGGATCACACAGAAATTCAACTCTAGCTCCCTCACCCCAATCATTTGTACCGTGTGCGTTACAGGGAAAACAACGTCAAAGGCAGCCAGGGTGGAAAGAAGCCCGGAACGGACAGGTTTAGAAGCAGGTGGTGGGAGACCAGGAGGCGTTAGTCATCGTTATCTGTGGTCATTGGGGGGAATATAGGAACTGACTTGCCACGTCTGCATCTAAAGACTTTTCGGCAGCAGTTGGTGAGGAATCAGAGTCCCTCGTTTAACACTAGGACTCACTCTTAGCATTGCCTGGGCAGTTTTCATAACCCAGAAAGCCTTTCTTTCTAGTCTCTGAGTCTGCGGGCTCGTCTTCCGCAACAAGGATCTGCAGGGAGACGGGTGGAGACGGGAATGGGTGAGGCTGGGAATTCCCTACTGCCTCTTCCCTCCGGACTGCCCTCCTTTCCTCGCTGGATTCGTCCAGGTTTTGCCTAGGGAGAATTCCTTCTAGAACGTGGCAGGCTGTTAAATATTAGGGGTTTCCAGTGCCGTTCCGGTGGGGTTCGTGTGTGTGTCCCCGCACAGCGCATCTCTCAGGGAGACGTCAAGGACACCGCGGGCCCGGATTCGGGATCCTCGATCTCGTGCTCAGACCTACGGGTCCCTCTGTCCCTGTGCTCAGGCCCTTCCCACCGCCCCGCTTTTCCTGACCTGGCAGGTTCCGTTCGCCAGTCAAGCTTCAGCTCAGCCGTCCTCTGCCTAAAGCTTTCCCCGAATTCCTGGGCTAAGTGGCCCATGTACACTCTGTCCCAGTCTCTTCCTCACGCCTGTCATGCTGGGTGTTGGGCCACGGGGAGATGCCATCATTCATCGCTGTGGCCTGGCCCGAGTCACGTTGCCGCGGGAAACCCCAGGATATGGGGAGCCTTTGTCCAGGGAAGAGACCACCCCCGTCAGATCACAGAGGAATTTGAATGCCCAGCATCAGAAAACGGGCCAGGATGAGAGTGCTATCATATCTTCTAATTCTTCATTTTGAGTATATAATTGTGTTTTCTATTAAAAAGATAAGAACGTCTGGTTACATACAGGTTAACCTAGATAAGAGCATGTTAAAAAGGTCTCTTTTCCAGAGAAAATTTTGTGCAGAAATGATTTCATGAAAATGCATTTTATTAATTGATGCTTTATTAATGTTGCATATAGAATTCTACATGTCATAGTGTTCACTGATAAATACAAACGGACATACAAGCTACTCTCCAATAAACATTTTGACCCAATATTGGTGAACTTATTCTCAATTAAGCACATAATGTGAAAGAATTCTAAGGCTATAAAAGGCTTTATATAGATTTATTTGTGATAAAATAAATCATACTCTCCGCTAATGCAATCGTTTGCCAAAGAAAAAATAAAAACAACAGTTTAATTCATTAGGAAATTTGTAGCATTTATAAGTGCAATATTTGCTTTCTGCTTTACTCACTGACATCATTCTTTCCCTCCCTTCTTAGCGCTTAGCTCGCACTGGAGAAGAAGGACATAATTATGCCCCAGACCGAGCCCCCCAGACCTGAACCACGACTCCAGGCATGGCAATTAGGTACGTCATTACCTGGGGTCACCCTGAAATTCTTCAGAGCTCTTGGCCATTCCTAAAACTATTCGAAAACATAGTGTTTTCCTTCCCATAAACACTGTCTTTCAAACCGCGGGATTCCCCCAGACCAAGCTCTCCGTGCTCCATAACAAGTTCTCAGGCGCCTGAGGACAAGACTCAGAAATCTTACTACTCATGAGCTCAAAGCAAATTCGGTCATTTTACAATCCTTGCCTCAGGCCAGAAAGTGAGTGTTGAGTAGGTAATGACCCTCGTTTGGAAAAGGAGAAAACAGGTTCAAAAAAGAGGTTAAGGGACTTACTGACCATCTCGGACACTTGCTTGGCACTTTTACTTTCGGGTTACGATGAATCATCTGCTCTGATGCTCAAAACAGAACGTTGGTGAGCTGAGCAGAGCAAATGTCTTTTTACACGTGGGGACGCTGGGGCTCAGAGATACCCATCATCGGCCTGCGTTGGCACAAACAGCAGCTGATGTCAGTGGAACCCGAACTCAGAGCCTTTATTCCCCGCGCACTGCGGCCCCTCTTACGAACCTGAGTGTGTGAGGAGCGGGGCAGTCGCCCTCGACCCCACCAACCGCAGCGCAGGCAGGGTGTGCACGCACTGACTGAGGTCTGAGATGAAGACCGTTGTCCCGGACGAGGAATCCACCCGTCGTGGTCAGAGGTGTGCTGGACAGTTCCAGTGTGCTTGCCACGTGATAACCAGGTTGTGAGTAACCATGAAATTGCTGTAATTAAAAGCCTAAGTATAAAGGATAATAGAGACAAGCGACCAAACGGTAGGTTGGGAATCAAGAGAGTTCAGATACGAATGTCCATTATTCAATTTTCAGAGTAGCACAAAGAACAATCTTGGTAAGAGATCAATACAAAATGGATTTGAAGGGCCTTCTTTCCTACCATTAATTTTCCAATTTTCCTGTTTAAAAATGTAAAATGATTTGTTTTACCCCTCCCGTAAATGATTTTCACTATAAAAAATTGGCTTTGCCCTTCGAGAACCAATTATCCCATTAGCTTCCTTTTAAACATGGTTTGGTGATCAGAAGGCCTCCACCGTGGGTGTGATCTTGCGGAAGAATCGATGACCTCGAGAATTTGTACTTTCAAAGATATAACCTGGAGGAGAGGGGAAGCTAGCGGGGCAGATTTCCTGTTTCTTCGGGGTGTACTCCAGAGAGTACATGGTAGTGTCGTCAAACGGAGCAGAGCTCTTCCTTGTAGCGCACGCAGGTTTGCAGCTCTCTGTTGGATTGAGCTCATGTGGCACATAGTGAGACCTGAAAGTGGTCCAACCATCAAATTTTCCAGATGGGTTGGGGATCTGCTGCTGCCTCTTAATAAGTCCTTGGCGACAGCTTTCCCAGGCTGGAAAATCTTCCTTCGTGGTGCTTTTTCCTTGAAAAGGAAAATTATTATTTCTTCTCTGAGAAACCGGCCTGATGGGAACACCACATTTGGTCTGATAGGGAATGTAGTCAAGATGGCTTGTGCTGTTTAACTGCATGGGACCCGTGGGAGGGACGTACTCTGGTGTTTTCTTGAGTGCAGGTGGTGGGATTTCCCATGGTTGGAAGCTTTCGCGGAATTCGGTGCTTCCTTCAAAAGGAGCATTTTGGGTCACTCTGGTGTACGCAGGTCTGCAAAGTTTCGCGGATTCGCCAGCAAGGCCCTGAAAGTCATACCGGTGAGTTGTGAGATCCTCAAAGCGTTGGGTGGTTGGCTTGTACACCTCTCGTGGTCTTGCAAACTTGAATTCCAGCTGATAAGGTACATAGTCAAGGCGATGACTTGTATCACCATTAAAAGGGATGGTAGAACGTTTGACCACAGGGCTGGGTTTAAAGCTTTGCCTCGGCTGTATCTCCTGAGGAACGTAATCATCCTGAAATGTAGTTGAATTTCCAAATTTCACAGTAGGGGGATGATAAGTTTGTTCTGGTTTACAAAGGTCCATTTTCTGAATGTCCCAAGTTCTATAATCATCTTGAAAATAAAAAAGAGAGCATTTTAAAATACTGAAGAAAACAACCGTCTTCTAAGAATCATGGCCTACTCCTCTCATTGCCAAATGTCCTTCCACTTCCTTCAGAAATATGGACAAATCGAGTATGAAGTTGCTCAGATTCTCCTGGGTTTTTTTTTTTTCTTTTTTAAAATTTTTTAATGTTTTATTTATTTCTGAGAGAGAGGGAGACAGCGTGAGCAGGGGAGGGTCAGAGAGAGAGGGAGATACAGAATCTGAAACAGGCTCCAGGCTCTGAGCTGGCAGTCAGCACAGAGCCCGACGCGGGGCTCGAACCCACGAACTGTGAGATCATGAACCTGAGCCGAAGTCGAATGCTTAGCCGACTGAGCCACCCAGGCGCCCCATGGTTTGTTTTTTTCTTCTTCCTGTCCACCTTCCTCTTCTATCACCCCACTTTAGTACATATAACTTTCTACTTCTAGACTTATCTGAATACACAACAAGGGAATGCAATATCTGAACTGAATTGTTGATAGTTTTTGGAAGCCTGTGTTTTGGGTAAAGGCAGAGTTTAGGAGATTATGGCTGTGTTTACCAGGAACTGGTTGGGATTTTCACTCCACCTCAAGAAATGCTAAGGGAAACCATAAAATCTAGGGATTAACATAAAATCAAAGGCCTTGATGTGTGGGCAAAAGCGATGTGGGTATTATTCCTTGGTTTTGGAGGGACTCCTCAAAGGAGAGAGAATTTCAATTCCATTATACTCTAGGAACGGGACTCCCTGAGCAAAGATACAGAATGACTTGCACTATCCCAGAAAATTCATTGACTTCAACTTTAACGTCTCAGAAAATGGACTTCCGGGCATTCCTCAAAGATAGGGAGTCATCTGGAGGCCAAAGGCCTGAAATGACTGCTTTCAAACATGTCAGAAATTGCATGTAGAATTAACAAGTGAACATCAGAACATGAGATTTAGCGTTAAACACCTTCATTCTGCTTCTTGCTGCCTACCTAGACCATGGATGGGAAACTGAAGTACTTGTATTTCACTTGAGGGGTATTTAGTTTTTCTAGATAAGGAAGGTAGAAAGATAAGAAATATTGTGGAATTGGCTTCACCCAAAAAGATGTACACTGAAGACTAATTTATAAAAGACAGAAGTTATATAAGATAATGTATTAGAGTCTAGACTAAAGTCCATACAATGTCTATTAGAAAGGCCAAAACTCAAATGCTTCTTATGTGGATACCTCCTCTGAAGAGAAAAATTCCTCATTCACAGACATTTCTGCCACAATGGCCAAGTTCTGAACCAAATGATTACTTCCACCTCATCAAGTGCTGGTGTTTGGGTGGCATTGGACGCCTGGCCTGAGCGCAGATCATCTTTAGGCTAGTAGGGATCTACAAAAGCCTGGCAAGGAGAGACGTGGTGGGTAAGCAATTCTTGTTCTTGTGAACCTGAATTTGAAAACGTGAAGCCAGATAAAAGCAGGAGATGAATCTAAAAGGATGCCGAAAGTAGAATCGGAGAGCCACGGTAAGCTGAAGACTTCAAAATCCACCTGTAGGGCAACGGAATTGATAAATAGGCAGAGGAGCCCAGGTAGTAGAGTGGCAGTCAGAGCAGATGCATGCAGAGAAGTGAAGATGCTGTGATCGAAACCATGGGGCTCTTGCAGAGAGGGAGGGAGGGAGCCGCTCTTCCCTCAAGCTTCCTCTGTACCCGATAGCTTTCCACTACGAGTTCACAGGAAGCCTTACCACAAACTCGCTTTTTCTTGAGGCACCATGAAGGAATCTCTGTTGTTTGTAACCTAAAGTATAAAATTATAACACCGTCTTTCAGAAACTAGAAGGAAATCATAGAAACCAGAAGGTCAATAGTTCTGCCTTGATGCCTAAGTGACTGAGGAAAAGATGTTAATTTCATAAAAGAAACTAAAGAGGAGAACATTTCTCCCTTACTGAACGAGCTTCAGTTTTCAAAAAGGAGGCAAGAATTTGGAGGCCGAAACACAAGATTTGACAGCACACATTACTGTGAATATCAACTGCAGATAACTGCAGAAAATTGATTTTCCTTTTATACATAGGCCTATGGTCATATGCATGGGATATTGATTATTTGTTCATTCTGGAGTATTTATTAATAACCTTCTGGCCACACCTTTAAGACATCATAATCTGTATCAATATCATCTGTTTTTAGTGTCTTATGACACTGATAGAAAGGACAAACGTAGTGCCATGCATATCTAACAATGCAGTCTGGCCATTTGGCAACTGCGGTATTGCCCTGGTGAGATAAGGGCAATTCTGTTTCCTCTGCTCATTCTTTTGATTTCTAGCCACTGAAGTCTAGTTAGCAAGTCTGCTCTCTTGTGAACAGCATTAAGTCCAAGAGGTGCCCACGCCATGAACATTTGTATGCACAGCCCCATCCCCATCCTTATATGGTGAGCTGTTCTAGGTTCCTCTTTGAGGACAAAAGTCTTGAGTTGCACATTCTAGTTGTTTTCCTGGGTGCTTTGGAACCTGTTCCCTGTGGTATCTTATGGCACCAAGGACTTGGAAACAACTTTAAGAAATCCAGGGAGCTCCATCCTGAGCATTCCTGACTCAATCTGTATTTTGTCAAACAATTCCCATGGTTTTACTACTACCTGGAAGCTGATGACTTCCAGAGGTGAATCTCCATTCCAGACTTTCCTTCAAACACCAAACCCACATATGTATTTTCCTACTAGATATCTCTGTTTCAAGAGGTAAACTGAAACTTAGTATGTTGGAACTGAAAAATCTTTAAGTGTTAATTGAAATTTTATTTCATTTACATTTAATGTCATGGTCTAGTTAAGTTTAAGTTGACTATATTGCTCTTTGCTTTTGATTGTTCCCATGTGTCCTTTGTTCCCTTACCCTTATTTTCTGCCTTCTTTTAGATAAAGGGTCTTTTTATTATTCCACTTTCTCCATTAGCATTTTAACTTTCCATATTTTTAGAATAAAAGTGCATTTTTGTCCTAGCAGGGGATCTTTTTGGCCTACTTGGACTTAAAATGATATTTTTACCACTTCTAGAACAGTGGAAGAAACTTTCAACAGCTTAATGCCATTTACACCTTCCTGCTGTCTTTTGTGCTATATTTTACTTTCATATTTATATAAAGATGCATAATATAATTATTACTGTGACTTTGAGAGGTGAATATTGTCTTATATTTACCCACATAGTTACCCTTCCCATGTATTTCATTCCTTCCTGGATTTCATGCTACTCTCTGGGATCATTTTCCCTCAACTCAAAGAAATTCCTTTACCACTTGTTATAGTATGGATCTGTTACTAACAAATTCTTTGGGGTTTTTGTTGTTGTTTTCCAAAAACATTTTTATTTTGCCGTATTTTTTGAAGGATATTTTCACCAGACATAAAAATCTGGGATTCACTGGGTTTAAAGTTCTAGGTTCTTTTCTTCCTTCCAACACTTTAAAGATGTCATCGCATTATCTTCTGGCTTTCATAGCTTCAGATGAAAAGCTAGGTATATTTCTGATTTTCCTTTTTGTAAATAATGTGTCATTTTTCTCTTGCTACTTTTTGAGAATTCATCTTCACTTCGTTTTCAGAAATTTGAGGATAGTTGCCCAGCTGTGGTGTTCTTTGTATTGATCTATTTGGGGATTTGTTGAGCTCCTTGAATCTGTGGCTTGGTTCTTCATCAATTTTGGAAATCTCTTTACCATCTCTCCAAGTATTTGCTGATTCTTCATAGGTCTCATATTTTATCAAGTGCTGGATGTCACATAGAATAAAGCCATAGGCATTAAAATCAATGTTATTTTCAACAGGAGAAAGCTTCCTTTTTCCAGTGTTAGGCAGATCACCTTGATCCAATCAGGAATTGAGCTAGGTTGGTGCTAGGAGGCACTTTTAGTTAGTCATGGTCTTCCTCTAGATACAAATGTGTCAAGGATAAGAACTGTGGTGTATTTGTGGTAAAGCCCTCGTTCTGTGGGACTTTGTCTCCTAAGCACCTACTACCAGGTGCAACCGTGGGATACTTCTGTGGGATCTCCCTGCCCCGGCCTGCTAGCCCACCTTGCTCCCTAAACGCTCTGCAAACACCCCTCAAGGAAAACCAGCCATACGTCCGGAGGGCGTATAGATTCCAACTTGTCAGCTGAAGCCCACGTGTCAGGGGCTCCACTGGCTTCCCTCCCCCAGCAGAGCCTTTCTGCTTATGCCACGCCCAGTCTTCAGCCTTGGCCTGGGTTTGACAGGTGCTCCCAGGGAAGTGCACAGCTCTCTTAGTTCACCTAGGAAGACGTCCTCCGTCTCTGGAACTTTTAGTTCTTTCCTTCCACGGCTGTCAAATGCCGTGAAAAATGATTTTTACAGTTTAAAAAATGTACACATATTGTTGCAGTGGAAATGATAGCTGTCTGCCATTTACAATATCCTACCTGGAAGCAGAGCTCACCCATTTTTAGCAGCTGTGAGAAAAATGTTGAGCTCCTCAGTCTGGTAATCAAGGCTTCCCAGTCTGATCTCAACCTACGTTTATAGAATTATGCCCCAATCTCTCAATTCCTGAAATCCTCTGGTGTTTACCAAATGGTCATTTCATTTTTCTGGCTCCATGCAGTTTTGCTCATTTCACCCTGGTTTTTGTGATATCCTTCCCTTTCCTATAGATCGATACTTACGCATCTCTGATAGGTTCCCAGGCTGGCCTGCAGTGTGATCTTGCTCAGTCTAAACTTTTGAAGCATGAGTTGTTCCATCCATGTTCTAGTGAATTATCCTCCTCCCTAGTGATGTCACATACATTTTTTAAGTTTATTTTGAGAGAGAGAGAGAGAGAGAGCACACACGCCCACACGTATGAGCGGGAGGGGGCAGAGGGAGGGGGCAGAGAGAGAAGAATCCCAAGCAGGTTCTAGGCTCTGTGGTGTCAAAACAGAGCCCAATGCAGGGCTTGAACTCATGAACCGTAAGATCATGACCTGAGACAAGATCAAGAGTCGGACGCTCAGCCGACTGAGCTACCCACACACCCCAATAACACATATTGTTTATTTCTACTACGGCTACTTAATTTTTGTGCTACTACTGCTTTTTTTTCCCCCTCAACCATAAAGTTTCTACTTGTCAACCACTATGCTTGAATCAGATCTCTGTTTTCCCTACAGTGGCCAGCACAGAGCAGAGTAATCCTTAAAACATTTAGCAAATCAAACCCTGGCCTATTTTCATCATGTTTTAATATGAATGACCTAAGCTGAGGCTGCTGGGGGCAGATACATTTCTAAGAGTAACCTGTCTTATAGAAGTACATCTCCAGAGCCTAGATGTTACCCTTCCCGCCACCACCCCACAGGGTTTTTTCTTCCTTTCTCTTTAATGTATCCCAGTTCTGTCTTTCCTCTGTTCTCTGGTTCTTGGTGATTAGTGACAGGGTCTCTCCTCATTGTGATTTCCTGTCAGCTATACACCTGTCCTCAAATAGGTTTCTATAAATCCTGCAGTACAATCATCACACAGAGTGATGAGCTCTGCCTTGGCCCTTAATATTTAGTGTCTCATGCTCCCATGCCTGGAAATACAAAGCTAACCTCTCCTCACTAGGGAAGATGGGAAGTGAGAAAACCAGAGGGACCTCAGGAATCCTCAACACTGGATTATGGGGGTGGAAGTATGGAAATCTATAGGAAGCCCAGGTAATGAGAAGCTAGAACTAGTGTGTGTGTGTGTGTGTGTGTGTGTGTGTGTGTGTGTTATGTGTAATAGTCACAGCATCAGGGAATATCAATATTAGTGGTATTTTTCAATAGATCTTATAGGGAAAAAAAAAAGAAACTCTACCATGGTTGTTAAAAGACCCAGTCATTTTCATCAAGGACCTTCTATATCACCTTGTTATGCAGGACATGACCTCCTCTGCATACAAGTAAATTCAGATCTGCAATTGCTGGATGCTGTATTACATTATAACAATATACTTGTTTATCATATGCATTGTCTTAAACCTTTGCTCCTTGAGTGGCATCTTATATGATCACAGCTCAAAAGACAGAAAGCACATTTCTCCTGACCTCCCTATACATAGATCATAAAGAACTGATAACAGATACCTCCTTACCCAGTGAACTAGTGAGGGTGATATTTAAAGAAAACATAGACATCAGCTCTTGCCTATTTAACTGTAAACTGTTGTTTTCATTGTGGAAGACATCACTTTTACAAAGGGGTTTTATATGAGGATGTACCATTCAGCTATATCACATAACTAATGAAAAGGGTGTCAACTTAAATATGCAATTTAACAACATGCATTATACTTTAATATGCATTATCAACAAAAAATATAGAAATGATATGTACTAATAACAAGTTAGCCTTTAAAAACAAAATCCCCATTCCCCCAAAGCAATAGAATATTTTAAAATCAATTGATTTTTGGAAAGAAACTAGCCATACACTGTCCAGCCCCCTGCTCTTCCAAGTCAGCGGCCGACAGAGAGAAGGGATCATCACACTTCTCTCAGGCTGGGAGCCTTAGAGGAGTCGCTTCCTTAAGTGATGGGCCAACGTTGTCACTGGATGGATACGTTGATTTCATTCTTAGTTCAGTATCAGGGAGCATCTGGTCCCAGATCTAAGCTTTATTCTTTTTTTTTTTTTTAATTTTTAAATGTTTTTACTTATTTTTGAGAGAGAGAGAGAGAAAACACAAGCAGAGGAGCAGCAGAAAGAGAGGGAGACACAGAATCTGAAGCAGCTCCAGGCTCTGAGCTGTCAGCACAGAGCCCGATGTGGGGCTCGAACCCACAAACCATGAGATCGTGACCTGAGCCAGGGTTGGACGCTTAACCGACTGAGCCACCCAGGCGCCCCGATCTTAGCTTTACTCTTCGATCTAGCCCTTATCACTATAAAGGGAATATCTGGTTCTCCATCTGCTAGTTCTTTTGCTTTGTCAGTTGGTTCCGAACTTAAATGGTGAAGGGCGTTGCTCTTTACTTGACCTTCTCAAAGACTCCTGGACACTCAGTAGAGTTTCAGCTCATTCTGGAAAGGTAGGAAAGGAGCAGCACCAGCTAACCATGGCACAATGTGACAAGGAGGACATCATGCTTGTTCCCTGGCAGCCTTTGCTCTTACACTTGACCCTTGAGCAACACAGGGGTTATGGGCACTGACCCCCTCCACAGTCAAAACTCTGCATCTAACTTTGACTCCCAAAACTACTAATGGCCTACTGTTGGCCGGAAACCTTAACAGCAGCATACACAGTCGATGTATATTTTGTATGTTACGTGTATTCTATGCTGTGCTCTTACCATGAAGTAAGCCGGAGAAAAGAAAATGTGATTGAGAGAATCTTAAGGAAGAGATAGTAGATTTGCAGGGCGGGGCTGTATTTATGGAGAAGAATCCACATATACGTGGACCTGGGTCAACTGTATATGTTTTTAGACGGAGAACGTGAATTAAGTGGCTAAATTTGGAAAGAAATCCAGGTCTTTTAACTCTCAGTCAGGCAAACGGTCTTTTTTCGCTATACAATACTACTTTGACCAAAGCAAAAAAAAAAAAGTTCTCCTAAGTGGTGGGAGCTAAGTTTGGCCAACACACCAAGTTATGATTTGATGTTAGATGGAAGTGAGTTTTAGTATTTTTGGCTCCTTCACTTTTGAAATGCAAATTACCTTTATAGGTTGGGACCGTGTCCAACTTTCCTTGTTTAACTTGCTGCCTCTCCAGAGGCCGGACGATGGCCACAGGCTGCGCTTTGTAAGAATTGAAATCCCGTTTGTAGGTAGTGCCAAGATCAATCTCCCCCTGTTTTGGTTTATATTCTTCTGGTACGTGGCGAGGCTGTTTGACTATTTCGTAAGGACGATAATCTGATCTGAAACATAAATTTGTAACATAACCTCACAAGTTCTTAATTAGAAATAATCATTATCTCAATGCAGTATTGAAAGTTTCAAGGTTTTTTTCATTTGAAAAGTCTCAGGAGATATTAAAATGGTGACAGTTGATAAACTACTTTAGAGAAATGATTTGATTCCTTCATGTCCTATCCAGTGATGAAATATGTTAAGAAAAAATAGGTCATAAGTCCCAGTTTTCGAAACATCATTACGATGGACCTTCAGTTGATTGACTCTTACATAAATAAGATCTTAAAGTAACTGATTTTTTTTTCTAACCTAGAAGGAAATTTTAGGATTTAATGAATCTAAAAAAATTTTTTACATAGATCCCGTGTCAAAACCCTTATTCGTCCTACTTAAAGATTAAGCTTTTTGGGCATGCTTCCTTCTTACTGACGTCATGCGGTCTTCCCGCTTAGTACTGAGTCATCAGTTAAATAGATAATTAATAGCTGGACTCTGGCCTTCAGACATAAACCACATTCACAGCATGGATGTGATTCTTCCTCATCTTTGGGTCCCGCAGAAGTCCTTGCCATGGACGGGAGGTGTGTGGCCACGCTGGGCATCACAGAACCTCATGGGGCAGAAGGACGGCAGACGCTGGGGTTGGCGGTGGGGAGGGGAAAACGACAGACCCAGTGTGACCAGACCGCCTGGGCCCGCATCCTCACTGGGTCCTTCACGCGATGCATGACTTTGGACAACTCAGCCCACTTGTGTCCCAGGTGCCTGCCACATAAAATAGGCCAGTCTTGCCGCCCACCTCAACAGGGTTATTTTAGGACTGGCACGTCTACAGGCGTGCGCGCACATGTTTGCGAGAGCTTGCCGCACAGTGAGGGCTATATGGGAGCCACTGCTATTATTACCACGAGTCTTCAAAATCACTTCTTTCTCTTCTAGACTCTCCTGTGACACTCATTTTATTTGTTTAAACGTCTTGTTTAATCACTACCTTGTGTGTGTCCATAAGCAAAACACTCACTGAACCCCTTCTACTCATGATACAATCCCTTAGACTTGCTAAGCCCTCCTTCCCAGCCCCCATCACCTACCTTGGGCTGCAGTCCACACTCACTTCCCCAGGGGCTGCCTGCAATTCTGGTCCTCACTTACCTGCTGGGCCCCATTGCCCACTCTCTCTACTTCCTGCCTTCCTCAGGGGCTCTCCTCCTCCTCTCAGGGCTCAGCCATCGCAGGCTGGGGGGTCCTCACACCTGGGCCTGCACACCCTCCCCTCCCACCTGCCGCTGCCCCCCAGCCCGGCGCCCCTGCCCCCACAGCTGCAGGCACTACCTGTGCAGAAATGATGCAGCTATGAGCTCAGCCCCTCCTCTGCAGGGCCCCTCGGATATGCACCCCAACACTCAGCGTGACCCCAATCACACGGGCTACTTGCCCCCAAGGAGCCTGGCCTCCCTCTGCTCATTCCCTGTTTCCTGAAAGGCATCACGGCCCCCGGAGCCAGAGCCACACAGTCAGTAGGAAGCCCAGGACTCCCACCATCTCCATAAGACCCAAGCTTTCCCAATACCTTAGTCAAGCCAATTAGCTTCCCTCCCCTCTTTTCTCACTTGCACCCAAAGTAGTCTTTTCACTTGTAAATGTGATCAGGTCAGTCCCGCCCCCATCCCCCTTGCTGACCCCCCTTCCCCACCCCCTCAAAATACTAACCCCTGGAAGAGAAGAAACTTTCAGTGGCTTCCTATGGCTCAAAGGGCACATCAAAAACTGAAGGTGGCCCAGAGGCCCCTGTGGCTTCCTCCGCCAGCCAGCCTTCCCAGCAGCCTTCGCTGCTCCCACCTGCTGTGGGGGAGGCCTTCCTCAGGAACTGGCCTCTCTCCCGGCCCCTGCCTTCCCCAGGCCACACTTCCTTACCTACTTAATCCAGTCAGTTGCTTCACACCTCTCAGGATTTAGCTCATTCTTCTCTTTTCCCTGATAAAGTCAAAGCTTTTATTCTGGCTCAAGTCACCTTGGGCCCATCCTTCACAGATGTGACCACTGCTGCCATTCTGTACTTCTTCCTAGTGAGGTATTGCTACCTTCGCTGGACTGACCGCAATCTGTGAGCACAGAGCCCAGGACCGGGACCCCGTGCTCACCGCTGTGTGCGGGGGGCTTAGCACAGGGCCTGACACTTAACAAATGCTTACTAAGTATTATTTAGTGGATAAATAGTAGAAATCACATACCTCTTATTAAGACATCTGAGTTGTTCTCTGCTCTTCCCAAATACCAGCTAGAGGGGAGCAGGCTAAAACGCAGTCAGGCAACGGAAGGAAAGGGGAGAGGACAGAGAGAAAGCGTAGAAGTCTTAGTTGCTCTAGTTAGATTAGCTAAGCGTTAGAAAGTAGACCTCCAAACCCAAAGCAACTTTCTACGGAGAAGTAGTTATGGGGGGTAAATACATTCCTAGTCACCGGTGGCCCCCATGGGACATGTCCGTAACCGTATTCAGAGGGAGCTTCCTAGCTGCTCTGGCAGTCATGCAGCTGCGACGTCGTACAAAGTATCAAACATCTGAGAGCCGAGTCTACACCTCTGCTCCTTACAGTCCCGTCCTGTGTTACAGAAAGTACAGAATGACGCTTCTGTTTGTGCAGGTCCATCATCTGGAGCTCCTTGGTTGACATAGTCAACACGAGGGCGTGAAGGACGGGTTCTACAGCCCAGCATATGGCTCTTGGAAATACTACTATTCCCAAGTCAAGGTACCAAGAAAGGATCCAATGTTTTACGAGGTGTAGAGATGATGATTTAAAAAAAATGGAAATTTTAGTTTCATGGGCACATTCAGAGCTTTTGGCAGCTGGGATATTTTTGTTTTCTTTCTTTTGTTTTTCTGTTTGGTTGGTTCATTGGCTGGTTGTTTGGTTTTTACCATTAAGGGATACTTGAACAAGTCAACGGACAAACCCAGAATTATGAAGCAATTGCCTTTTTAAAGGAAGGGATGGCATGGGGCGCCTGCGTGGCTCAGTCAGCTAAGTGTCTGACTCTTGGTTTCGACTCAGGTCATGATCTCATGGTTCATGGGTTTGAGCCCCACATCAGGCGCTACACTGATGACGTGGAGCCTTGCTTGAGATTCTTTCTCCCTCTCTCTCTGCCCTTCCCCCCAACTCCTGCTCTCTAAATAAATACATAAAAACTCAAAGACATGGCAGGGTATACTTTCCCAATTTTAACATTCAGAACTAGTTAAGTGCAAAATCTTTATTTGACAAATATGCATATTGTGAAATTTATTTCAGGTCTCTTATGAATCATCAAGGTGTCAAGGAAGAATCTTAAGGGGAAGAAAAAGGAGCACTATTCCTATTTGCTCTCTGTCAACCACTTGTTCATTTCTTCACCTCCTTTTCTATAATTATATCTTGTTCATTCATCTGAGTTTGTGTTCTTTGACTGCCATTCCCACAAGGCTGTAAGTAACACCGGGCCCACGTCACACCCAGGGACGCTGTGGTGCTTGACCCACTGCCCTGAATCTATGGCAGTAGACTGAGCCGCAGTGCTGGTTAAAAATGCAGATTCCTGGGATCTATCGTCTCAGGTGGAACCCCGGAAACTGCAGTTTTAACCCGTCTGGATGATTCCAAAGCACACCATATCTGAGGACTATGGAAGATTTTCAAATCTGTGGAAGAGCCACACGTCTACAGAAGCGAAGCGCAATCACCGAAGCTCTCCTGCCAGGGCTGGCCCAGGTGTTAGAGGGACAAGAACGGGACTAAAAGTCTGAAGGTTTCCACCTTTGCTCATGCAGGTAGAATGCGCTCTCTCTAAAATAAGAAAATGGGTAACACTGCAAATTAAAGTTGTTATGGAGCAGTTTTAAAGCCCCAAATTATAGAAATCTGATGTGTGTGTTCCTTGAAAATAGGAACCTCTGTTTATTGACTTTTATGCTTAACACCCAAGATTGTGCCTTGAATATGGTGTGCTCATTAACAGAATAAAGACGAGAATGAACTCACTGACAAAGATACAAAACAACGTTTTTAAGAAAGTGCTAACTAAGTCCAAGGTGCCTCGGTGGCTCAGTTGGTTGTGTGTCCGACTCTTGATTTTGGCTCAGGTCACGGTCTCACGGTTTGTGGGATCAAGCCCCGCACTGGGTTCTGTGCTGCCGGCACGGAACCTGCTTGGGATTCTCTCTCCCTCTCTCTCTCTGCCCCTCCCTGACTCATGCACTTTCTGTGAGAAAAATAAATTAACTTAAAAACAACAACAACTAAGTCCCAGTGGAAAGTGTAGGGCCAGGGAGGCTTCTTTTTGTCTCTGCAACACTGAGCAAACATTGAGTGCCTGCTGTGTGCTAGCAGGCATCCTACTAGGTTTCTGGAAACTATGCTAAGATGAGAATAGACACAGTTCCTGCCTGCGTGGGCCTCTCAAGTGGAGTTAATGATAAAGAAATAAGATGCATTGAGGGCTCCCGTAGGGGACTCTTACCTGGCCTGAAAGCTGGGGACAGTGTCAGAGTGACAACTAGGTTGAGATGCACAGGTTAAGTGGGCATTAACTGGGGTAAGAGGGAGGGAAATTTCCAGGCAAGTAAAACAATATACTGGAAGGCTCTGCGGCAAGGGAGAACCTGGGATCTTTCAAGAAATGAAGAATGTCCTGTGGGATGTGGGTATAAAGGAACACAGTGAAAATAAATTAGAGAAGCAAGTACAGACCAAACCATGACGGGATTTGGGTAAATATTAAATAAAATAAGAAAGTAGAAGTATTTTAAGCAAGGAAGTGATAGGATTAAAACTGCATTTTATTTTTTAAAATTGTTTATGTTTATTTATTTTTGAGAGAGAGAGAGAGAGAGAGAGAGCGTGAGCAGGGGAGGGGCAGGGAGCGAGGGAGACACAGAATCTGAAGCAGCTCCAGGCTCTGAGCTGTCAGCACAGAGCCCAACATGGGGCTCGAACTCATGAACTGTGAGATCATGACCTGAGCTGGAGTCAGATGCTTAACCAACTGAGCCACCCCCCGGTGCCCCAAGAACTGCATTTTACAGAGATCATGCCTGCAGAGTAAAGTACAGGAAACAGATCAGAGAAGTAAAAACCAGAGGAGAGCTAAAAAACCGGAAGCTATTGCATTCTTCTAGCTGGAAGGGAGACCTTGGAAAGGAGCAGATATTAGAAGAGATTTTAAGTGGTTAAAACAATAAAACTTTTTGTTTCCCCTTTTCCTTCTCACTTTTTGCCATTCTAACTTAATTCTCATCTTTCTGTTTTTCTCAAGTTGCGATTTGACTAGTTCCTTGCTTCTGGTGCTGCTTCAACCTCAATCAACTTAATAGTTCAATTTAAAGAATTAAACAACTTTATTAAGCCCGGAAGAGTTGGAGAAAAATAAGGAAAGCAAATAGTTTCTTAATATTTACTTAAATGTCGTTATTCCTTCCATTTTACCACGGCCTGCTCGAAATTCTTGCTTGGGCTTAAGACTCGGAGGTGGAGGAACGTTGCCGTACGTAGGATATTTTTCCACATATTCAGTTGTGGGGCAAGGTATGCCAGAGGCTTCATAAATCCTTGTGGCTCCATGTGGACAGTGATGGCGCCTGTGCAAACACAAATCAACTGAAAGATTATTTCAGCTTTCAAAAATATTCCATATAATTGCATCTTAATCTGAGACCTTCGATAAACACAGAATCTCTAGATTTAAAAAAAGCTTTACTCATGCACACAAACACACACACACAAAATCTGTTTATTCTGCGATGCTGTTTACAAAAACAATGAATAAATTATGGTAGATCCTTCATGGTGGAACAAATTACGTTATTTCCTCTGACAACAATTTAGAATGTCTTTTTAAAAAAGAAAAATTTAATGTTTCTTTATTTTTGAGAGAGACAGAGCATGAGTGGGGGAGGGGCAGAGAGAGGGAGACATGGAATCCAAAGCAGGCTCCAGGCTGCGAGCTGTCAGCACAGAGCCAGATGTGGGGCTCAAACTCACCAACAGTGAGATCATGACCTGAGCTGAAGTCAGACGCTTAACCAGCTGAGCCACCTCGAAGCCCCTAGAGTGTCTTCTTTATACTAAGAGGCTGAGAAGCTAACAAGCGCATTTCCCAAGCCCCCTGCAGGCAGGCTCCTCGCGGTTTAGCTTTCACCTGTTGGGTGGACTCTGCTGACGTTCTGACTCAGGGAGCACTCCCCAGGGAGAGAGGCTTGCACGCTGGTGGTGGAGGCACAGACAGACTGCAGCCCGTGGGTGTCAGGCACGTTCTGGTTGGCAAGGTGGCCTCCTGGGTGGCAGCGTGGGCCGGAAGGAGTGGCTCTGCAGCCCACCACTCTGTTTCTGTCCCCTGGCTGTCAGCCGGGGCAGCAGCTCCCTTGGCAGCCCAGTTCTGAGGTGAGATTTTTTTTTTGGGGGGGGGGGAATTTCTCCTGAAAAGCTTATTTTGAAAATGGTTTCTCCCATTCTTCCAATGATTCTGTGAGTTATATATACTCCTTAATAAATTCTTTTATGCCTAGATTAGGCAATAGTAGATTATATTGTTGGTAACTAAGAGCCCTGACCAATATATCATACGGGCTAATAGCAGGTAGTTGTTAAAGAGAATAGGGTTGATCTGTAGGCGTGGCCATTGCCAGATGCGGAGATTGTAAACAGTGAAAAAGTGGGTCGCAGAACAGTATGTATAATACGCTCCGTTTCTCTCTTTCCTTTTAAAGAATGTAAAAACAAGTCTTAAAGAACATTTATTATTTGTGGGAACTAGGATGATGAGTTTCACTAGATCCTAGATGTTTTGCCTTGCATGTTCACACTGTGCCTCATGTACATTCATTTCATAATCAGGAAAAGAAAAAAGATAAAGCTCTTAACAAGACAAACAGAAAAATCCAAGCAAACCAAAAAAAGAAAATCCCAGAGTTCTGAACTAGGAGGTCAGTTTCTCAGGTCTGATGCCATTTGGGGCTCTGGACTACGTTCCAAGCCCCAGGAAGGTTGGGTTGGAAGAAAATGCACATGCTCTGTGCATGAGTCAGAACTGGCGAGGGTACCTAGACCCGGTGAACCCCGGGGGAGAACGTAGGAAAGATCAACTGCTTTGCGTGGAGGTTGCTGGACAGCAGAGGAACTGCAGCGCCTAAGAGCGGAGGGGTGGTGTCACAGGCTATTCCAGAAAATTCAAAGTCAGACGAGTAGGAGTCGAGAGATTCAAGATGATTGGCTGGCGGTGGAAACTTCCGGAAAGTCCTAAAGTGATTTAGTACCACACACGGTCTCTTGGAAAAATCAGGGACAGGGTACGTAGGTCATGCATAGAGGTTCTTACACAGGTGCACTGAGTTACAAGAATCAAGTCCAAGCTCTGGAATTTCTCCTTGTTCTTAGTTTTATTTCCCGTCCAAGACATACATTCACATTGTAACAAAACAAACAAAGAAATGCTGAAGAGTTTATAAGTGAAAGGAGAAGCCTGTTGTCCTAATGTTTCCAATCTCTAGAAACAACCTTCTGACCATCTCTGCTTTTTACTTTTTCTGGAGGCTACCTCGCTTTTTCGTTTTCTTTTCTTTCTTTCTTTTTTAACGAGCTTTTAACATCTTCATGTATCCGCTTAGATTTACTAACTTTCAAATCCAAAGAGATGAGAAAGACTCCACTCACTCCCTGTTACATGGTCACTCATTCATTCCACGGAATCCACGTGCTCACGCTTCTTTAGCAAACAGGCATCTAATCCGTGGGGCCAACAGTGGCCCCGAGGAGGAAGACTGTGTTCGCAGCGGGCGGGAGCTTGTCAGGCAGGGCCCACGGCCCAATTCTGGGATTCGGGGGGCGCTGCGCCCTTCTGGGGGGCCAGGTCCCTACGGGGCACCGCTCGCAGGGGAATGGCGCTACGGTCAGGCTGGGGTGGAAGGCCGGGGATGGGAGAAAGCTGATGGGCTTGCACACAGTCCTATTCCTGTTCCCTCCTTCCCCCCAAGATGTTGGGGGCACCCACTCTCCCGGCGGGATCTGATCCGGGCACCAGCGGCCTCGGGACCCGCCGCGCCCGCGCACACGCCTCCTCCGCGCAGCCCGCCGGCCTTCAGGGCGCACCCGGCCAGGGAGTCTAAGAGCGGGGCTGCTTCACGCGCGAGCCGGCTGGTGCGACGCGGGGAAGGGGAGGCGGTGCGGCCGCCGCCTCCGCGTTCCGCCCCTGCGGGGGGCGGCCACCCCGGGGTGCGCGCCGCCACGCTGCCCGTTCCTTACCCGCAGGTGCAGATCTGACACAGACACCGGCTCCTCATGCTCGCGGCGGGCAGCCGCTGCCGCTCGGCCGCTCGGCGCCCGCAGCTTCTGCCCGGCCCGCGGCGTCCGCGGTCGCCAGGGCAACAGCGCGGCCCGGGAGACCGACGCGGAGCCGGCTTCCGGCGGCGTCAGCGGCGCGCGGGTCAGAGGTCGTGCGCCCGCCAGCCCCGCCCCCGGCGTGCGCGCGCGTCCGGGGCCGCGGGGCAGTCGGCGCCGGCGACGCGCGTGGTGCGGCGGGGCCGGGGGCCGAGCGGGGCCGCGCCGGGCGGCCGCAGCCGGTGAGTGCGGGCCCGCGCTGGCGGCCGGCGTCCTCCTCGGCCGGCGGCGGGCGCTGGCGGGGTGCGGGGGTCGGGGGCCCGGGAGCGGCGCGGCCGTGGGGTCCCCCCGGGGCCGCCGCCTCCCAGAGGGTGGGGACCCGCGATGCCGGGGACCGCGAACGCGGGGCCCCGGGGAGGAGAAGGGAAAGTGGACGGGGGTGGGGAGGGGCTCTTCCTTTTCATCTGAGACCGAGGGGAGACTTCAGGGCACCTGTCGGGCGAGTGAGCTTGCGCCCCGAAACTTTGTTGGGGCTCGGAAGGCGGCCGTGGAGCCGGCGCTTTGGTGTCGGGTGAGAGCGAGAGGGAGTGCGGGAACCCGGGGCTGGGAGACGGGCCCGGGGCCCAAGGGACGGGTGTGGGCGCCTCCCCTCCCTCCCTCCCGGAGACGCGCATTACCCGCGTCGGGGCCGCCTCTGGGTGCCGCCGCCCCATGAGCTGCGTGACTGCTCGCGGCGGTCCCGTCCCGGAAGGGTGAGGCACCTGCGTCCCGCAGGCGTGGTGGGTGGGGCCTCGGCCCGGAGGCTCGGGGGGACTTGGGCCTGGCCGGGTGCATCCCTTCAGCGGGCGTTCACCGGGCTCCCAGGTTAAGGGACCGGGGAGTCTTGTCCATTCCCAGCGTTAGCGGCGGGCGGGGTGGGGCGGGGGGAGTTAGGCTTTGACGCTTAGCCCGTGTGCCGTTTGTAAAACATTCCCAATTGTCAGTCCCAGGAGAGAAGCGACCATGGTGCTCAGCAGTCGGGAAAAGATGATCCAGCTTCAGAAGAACACTGCCAACATCAGGAATATCTGCGTTCTGGCCCACGTGGACCATGGTAAGACTCCCTTCTACACGGCTTGTTTTCCTCATTAAGGGGGCGTGTCTGCACACGTGTCAGAGCCACCGTGGGGACAGCGGGTGGGACCCGTGCCCGCTGAGAAGCAAGTTCCTTTACAAGTGTGAGGACAGCGGCGCCGGCCATGAGAGCGTTCGAAATGAACACGGCAACCTGGTGATTAGCGTTCTTCCGGACGGTGTATTTCATTGTTGTTGTTGTTTTTTAAAGGAGAACTGGAGTTTTTTGTTAAAATAAGCGTTTCTGAAATGGCTTTGTGATCTAGAAAAGTCTCCAGTCCCGACATAATGTCTTCAGAGCCAGTGTGATGTGATTCTCTTTGACTCGTCAGGTGTTTCTCGACTGTCTGCTAAATTCAGGGGGTTTTGCTGTGTGTCGCAGAGGTAGAAACTGAGCACTAGGGCACCAGGGGAGGCCTGGGGCGCTGTGGGGTTGAGGCCGCACAGGTGAGAGGCGAAGAGTGGACCCTGCGGGTGGGGAGAGCTGGAGGACCCGGGCGGCCGGGACGGGTTGAGAGGCTTCACAGCGTAAGTGGTATTAAGGGGGACCCTTGAAAGGGGGCTCCGGGTGGCAGATGGGGACACACCTTCCAAGTGGGAGCAGTGTCAGCCGGGAAGAAGGACGTGTACAGGAGCCGGGAAGGGCAGAGGTGGCCAGTGGGTGTGGCCGTGCTGCTGGCAGGTCCTGTTCTCTCACTGCAGCATCGCAGCATCACTTCCTGCGGAGCCCGCTGCTCTCCCTTTCACGCCCCTTCCTCGTGCAGGGAGCGCACAGGCTGATAGGAGTAGGGGTGCTGGGGGAGGAAGAGCTCTGGCCTTTGTGAGTGTTCTTTCTTTAATATTTTTTTTTGTTTACTTTTGAGACAGAGAGAGACAGAGCACAAACAGGGGAGGGGCAGAGAGAGGGAGACATAGAATCCCAAGACAGGCTCCTGGCTCTGAGCTGGCTGTCAGCACAGAGCCCGACGTGGGGCTTGAACCCACGAACCGAACCGTGAGATCATGACCTGAGCCGAAGTCAGACGCTTAACCGACTGAGCCCCCTAGGCGCTCCCGTGAGCGTTCTTTAAACACAGCCATCTGTTGGTACCACTTCCCGGTGTGTAGACTTGGTAGAATCTTGCGTGGAACTAAGTGTGTGCTGGCGAGACTTGTCACGGAGGCATGTGTTAGGATCTGGGTGGCGTCTGCGGTGCGGCCGGCGGCCTCCACAGGTGTGCTCGCGGTCGGGGACGTGGGTAGGTTTCCTGGGCTGCCTTGCTCCTAAGCATTTTTTTTAAGACAGTGTAACTGGCAGGTGCCAGCTCAGGCCGTCCTTCGGGAGATGGGGCAGGTTACATTCTGTTGTCCCTCGGTGACGGCGTGGGCCACATGCCGTCCAGAGGCGGATGTGAGTGCTCTGCCGTCAGGTTGTCATTCTGAGCCACCGAGAGCTCCACTGTGGCACGGCCACCGTTCGGGCGACTGTCAGAGAATGAGAGAATGAATGTAGTAAGTACCATAAACTTGATCGAGTCCTCACGTGGTTTGGGAACTCCAGGAGCGCTGCGTGTCACACGTTCTGTCCTCTGGCTGGAGAGTCTGCGTTTTACTCTGTCAGTTAGGCTTCAGTTAAAAAAAAAAAAAAAAGTTGCTTGACGACTTTTCAGGTGAGGGTGATGAGACCCACGGGGTTGGAGCTACAGATTGGCAGCCTCCAGAGCGCTAGCTGTGTCCTCAGGTGACACTCTGTGCAGATAAACTCTTTTTTTTTTTTTAATTTTTTTAAATGTTGATTTATTTTTGAGAGAGAGAGCACAAGTGTGTGGGGGGGAGGGGAGAGGGGGACAGAGGATCCAAATCAGGGTCTGAGCTGTCAGCGCAGCGGCCTCTGCAGGGCTTGAACCCATGAACCAAGATCATACCTGAGCCACAGTCGGGTGCTTAACTGACTGAGCCCCCCGGGGGCGCCACCGATAAACTCTTTCAGATGCTTATAAACTCAGATGCTTATTATGTGTCAGCTTCAGTCAGTACAGGTCAATGGGAAATCTTTGCTTAACCAGTTCTTATGGTCAGAAGTTAATTCTTTAGATACGATACATCATCCTTCCTTTTTAGAAAAAGAAATAGATTTGAATTAATATTGTTATCTTAACAGGAAAAACTACTCTGGCCGACTGTCTTATCTCTAGCAATGGGATCATCTCCAGCCGCCTGGCTGGCAAGGTATGTTGTTATATTTGATAAATGCTCGTTGCCTTTCAGTAAGCAGCGGCTGTCCACCGTGTGATGTGTTCTTAGTCACCCAGGAGGAGTGGAAAGCCCAGGGGATGCGTGTAAGAAGCAGCTCATCAATTTAGCAAGATAAAATCGACGTGGAGAAAAAGTTATTTTATATTTCTTTATAGTAATATTTTATAAATGCAGAAATGGGTATTTGTAACAAGTCCAGCAAGAGCCTGGCCCAGCTGTGGATGATCCCACGGAGGACGAGTGTGTGGTTTGGGGAGGAGGGAGAAGCCGCCAGGTGGGGGAACAAAGTGCAAAGTGGACGACGGAGATGAGGTCTGATTGTGTACCATGCTCGGTTTGAGGGAAGCATTTGCCTAGAGGCTACTGGGAGAGGAAGAGCCCTGGTGGAGAGAATGTGTCTGATTCTAGAAGAATTTGAAGGCTAACTCAAGTCTGAGGGTCATGATGAAAATAGCATTTTAGGAAATGAAAGAGATGTTTGTTTCTAGCTGTGAGTGTGAGGTCCTGGAATGATTTACTTGCAGTAGAAGAATAGAGAAGTTCCTTCCCTTGATGAGTTTCGGAAAAGATCAGTGGAGGTGACCACAGAGCTGGTATCTCCAACCTGTGGGGAAAGGACTAGTCTCTGCAGACGGTGTCCTTGGACAGTGGTTATGAATGTGGAAGATAAACAAAGTTGGACCTCTGCTTCATACCACACACAGAAATCAGCACGTAATTGAAATACTTGTATGTGAGAGGCAAAATTATAGAACTTTAGAAAATAATATAGGTCAGTACTCTGTGACCTTAAGAGAAGATTTCTTACATGAGATGAAGAAGTACATACCACTGTGTAAGTTTGATCAACTCAAGTACATTAAAACTAAGAACATCTGTTTATCAGGAGATACCATAAAAACAGTGAAGAGACAAGCTCGGCAACTGGGAGAAAATAACAGCACCTAATTGACAAAGGTCTAGTATTCAGGGACTGTAAGTAACTTCTGTCCAGAACAGAACACACCCGTAATATAACCATTAAAACAGTGGACAAAAATCTTGAACAAGAAACTCCCGAAAGAGGAATGCCACACGGCCAGTGCGGTAAACTAGAAGGACACTCAACCCCGTTTATAATCGGAGAAATTTAAATTAAAAAAATATTATTTGTCATCATCATTATCAATATATTGATCATGGGAAGAAGAGTGAAGGCTCCTCATGCTTCTAGAGGTTTCGGTCTTTGCCCAGACTTTGCCAGACAGCCTGGGACAGGGAGAGAAGGGCTCTGTCTGGGTGAGTGGAAGGACCCCCCATGCTGCCTCCTGTGAATTAGAAGGCACAGCATCGCGGGGAGGGCGTGCGGAACCAGAATGTGCTCGGAGCGTGGAGCTGTCTCTTGGGGTGTCTGTTCTCGTCCCTGTGACATCTTACTTCCTCAGCCCCTCCCTACATCAAAAAAAGATCTGAAGGGCTTTTAGTTTAAAACTTACGTGTTTAAAGCAAAAGTCCAACTCAGACGGTTCTAACGTGAACATTTCCCTGGGAAGTAAGGGTGTGCATGTTTGCATTTTCACAGTTAAGATACATGGACAGCAGAGAAGACGAGCAGGTTCGGGGGATCACCATGAAGTCGAGCGCCATCTCACTGCGCTACGCCAAAGGTAACTCAGCCCGTGCTTTAGAAAA